TCATGTTTAAAAACTGAATGAATTCTTCAGCTATTGCATCAAAGCCGTCAAGGTTAGCAAATTTCTGTAAAAAATTAGTTCACTGTGATCGTTTTGAGCATTTCTAGTCTAATTGTTCTCAGAAACGTACACGCAGTCGTGTAAATCAATTTTTGAGATATTCTCACATGGTAAAAAATAATAAGCAACAGGCTCCGCGCAAAATATTTTCCTGCTTTGATCGTATTATTTCCAGTATGCTCTTTCTACACTGTGGAGATAAACAGATGGGCAGATCTATAAGACGTTAACCTAAAAAAAATTAAATATTGTATAGTAACAGGAACGGTTTTGCAGTGACTCTTTTGTCTACAGCCTCTGTGGTCACCTGCATTTATAACTTATTTCCTGTCTGCTTTGTCTGACACACAACAGAGAGCTCTGTTATGTCTTCCTCAATTTGGATGACAAACTATGTGATTAAAACCATAACTTTACAGATACGTTTCTTATTAAACTTTCTAAATAATTTTCCCTTTAACAAGGTTGGAACACTTGTGAAAGTTTGACTTTCAATCTTTTAGAGGTATCCATTTTTTTATTTATTTATGTAAAAAGGTAAATAAGTATTGATTTTTCTCATCTAGTTTTGAACTAAAAACGAGGCCTAGTCAATAAGCATACACAAAGTTCAGGTTAAAATGGCCAGAATGTTTAAATGTCTCTTTTAAAGTATACTCCAACATGACCGCAGCTGTCGAGCATTTCTTTCTTTAAGCAATGAAGAGAGAACTGGTCACTAGCTCGCAGCCCCACAACGTTCCTCCAGGAAACAAGGAAATGTGGTCTACCCTTTACAAGTAAAATGTTTGCATGCTTACTTTAACCACACACAGGGGAAACAGTTCCACTGACATGTTAGCTTGTTTCACGTTGGGCTTTTGAACCACACAAACCACCTGCTTACTCGGTATGTTTAGGCCAGCCACTGCCCGGCAGATTCCTGGCATAATGAACACAGTTGAACCTTCTAATGTGCTCTGTCACTCATAAAAAAAAGCTAAGAGAAGACATGTCTTTCTCAAAATCCAAATCATTGCCATGGAATAGATTGGTTTACAGTCAGTGTTTCTATGACCTGACCTGGGAGCTTCAAAGATTTATCTGGATTTAATTAGTTTTTTTTGTTACTGTTGAGCCATCTTTTTCTCTTGGCCTGTTACCTTCAAGTTGCTTTCATTTTGTGGGCTTTCTCATCTGAAAAGAACGAATATGCAGTCTTTACGGACACGTTGCGAAATGACCTGGTTATCAGACCTTACACCTGAAAAGAGAGACAGGTACCTCTTTCACTTCTCGCTCTTTGTTTGTGCAAAGCACAGAGGACCAGCAGTATCAACAGGAAGAGAGAGGACACCCCCACCAGGACCCATATCCACCAGTGAGCATGCGGGGTCCACTCACTGGGATTCACTGGGGGACGGAAACAAAGCGTTGAAATGTCAGCACATCGAGGCAGCGTTATCAACAAGGTCAGAGGTCATGAAGCATGTGGAAGGGGTCAAGATACTGCTAAAAATCTCTATTTCAGATTGCAAAAGCAAATTTGTGATTAATTGGGATAAGTTTAGGCGCGCAGGCCGGCCGGATGCTTGCGTGGTTGTTCACTTCTATGTGAGAACAACTTCTGACCTGTTACCCAGAAGTTTTCACACCTCTAAAAATACCAACTGCAATGTTAACGGGTCGAAGCTCAGACTCTGCCAGGCATAAAAAATATACAAATGCTCATGAAGTTTGAACATGCATCCACCCCCACGCGCATCCACTCGTGCACACACACCTTGCTTACTCGTCACAAGCGACAGATACGTGGTGTTTTCCACTAAGTGCTTCACTGTAACAAAATGACATAAGAAGCAGGCATTTAGTCAAAATGGCAAGCGAGAATGACAAAATTTAGTAATAACTGGATGAATTTCTGCTTCAGCGCAGCAGGCTTTGCAGCTCAGCTTTACTTTAGCATTTCTAAGCAGCAAAGCACAGGATGATTAGTTCATAATGCTTTAAGCAGGTTCCAGTGGAAGTTATTGCACACAAAAATCATAACACAATCTGTAAAAATATAAAGATAGGATTTGACTGATCATTGTTTGATAAACTGGGTCAACATTAGCATGACGGCTCATTAAAACAGTCAACCTGAATGAAGCTGCACTTAAACATTCAAATGCAATACTTACCAACAACTATTTCTTTTGTGTCACTCTTGTTGCTGATTAGTATGGGAATCTCTGATGTGATCTCACAGCAGTAGTATCCGCTGTTTGTTTCATTAACATTCAACAGAGTCCATCTATTGCCCTGACATGACTCCTGCTTGGGCTTCTCAGTGTAGTTACTCAAAAACATCGAACGACATGTGCGGGTTTCATTTGATACAAATGAAGTGAAAGTCCAGTTTACTCGATATCTGGTAGAAGTGCCTCCCCAGTGACCCAAAGAGCAAATCAAAGTCAAGGAGGAACCAAGAGGAACTTTCTCTTTTCTTGGGTTTGATGGATTTGTTAATTTTATCTCCAGTGACATCCCCACAGCTGCTCCAGTCACTGTGAATATTGGAGAAAGTAAAGTGTTTAACTTGTTCAGGGTGACTTAATATTTCCTCAGCAGCAAAAACGGAACACATCACACCAATCGCACCCGTTTTGAAACAATCTACAGCTACTTTTTCCTTTGTAAGAGTCTGTCTTGATCATTTAAATGTGAAACCGTACCTGTGAGTAACACCAGAGTTGCTTGTTTCAGCCACATGTTCATCCTCTCACAGAAGAAGTGGTTGTCCTCTGACTCTCATCCTGTCTCGGCTGCCTGTCTGGCCACATGTGACACGGCGCTAGAAGCAAACCTGAGTGTGACTGTGTGTGTGTGTGTGTGTGTGTGTGGGCGGGCGGGCGGGCTGAGAGGAAGAAGCAGTTCTCTGCAACATTAGTGTGAGAAATATTTGCTTTTAGTGTGGAGAAAATCTCTTTACTGGAGGTCCAAACTAACTTTGAAGATGGAAAATGTGAAAGGGTTTTAAGAAACAAAAGCAAAAATACCATTAAGGCCAAAAAAATAGATTCTCTCAAGAACTTTGACACATGGCTGGTCCAAAGGCTTTCCGTCCATAGACATCAAAGCAGCCTGCTTTTGCTGTCTCACATGCAAATAAGTGCTTTCTGTATATTTGTGGGGCTGGGGGTAACTCGCCTGATTTGCTGAATACTATCAACGACATTCAGCGATCGACTGGGTTAGAGAAACCTCTGTGGGTTTTCGGTGCAAGGGTGTTAAAACTAATTCCACCATGTGCCCACAATGTCTCTGTAGAATAGGTAAAAAGGGCTTCCGGTGTCAAGACACAACCATATTTGATGTCAATATTCTTATTCAACCCAAAGAATTTTTTTATTTTTTAAATATCAGGAGAGAGACAGAGATGATTAGATATTTGGGGACTTATGGTATTGTTTTTAAGTCATGAAAGCTGAGAAAACACGACAGCATTTGACATGTTAATATGTGGCCATTAAAAACTAAAACAGTGCTTCAGAGAAACTCATCATCAAGTCATTTTAGGACATAGTTTTTGGATCACAACAGGTGTGTGAATGCTGTTAGTTCACAGCTGTGAGGGGGACAGGCAGCAAGGCGGAACATCTGAGGGGTGCAGAAAACCTCATCCTTATGATCTTTTCTTGTAAAGAGACTGAAAGTAGGTCCCATCTGAATGCAAGTAGAGCAATAATCTTAAAAAGCTCTTATTCAAAGCGTTACAGTTATTTGAATTGGTTCCAGTGGGCACAGGTATTATTTGTTTATAACGTTTCTTGAGCTGAGCAGAAAATAAAGACAGCTATAGTTTTTTTTGCTTGCAAAAATTACAGACATGTTTATGGAAAATGGTCAAATGGAGATATTCACAAACAGAATATCAGGCTGTGTTTCATGATCTTTTACTTTTCATCCCTGTCTGGGAAGCTAATTTGCATAGATTGAACATGACATGTTTTCCTATTTTCCTATTTTCTCAAGCATCTACACATTTATAGAAAGTTTTTTAAGAAATTATTTTTCTTTACTATTTGCTTTTGTTTTTCCATTGTAATTCTTCAATAGGAAATTAGTTAGAGAAAAAAGTTTCAACATATATGATCTCCTCAAATGAAATTAAATCAGTGCTTTTGTGACTGCTCGGACACAGACAAGGACAGTAGATATCGTCAAGCCAGACAGCATTCAAGAATAAAAAAGACAGAATTTGCAACCCCTGATTTTTGCTTAAAAAAAACCACAACAGACAGTCTGGCGCATATCACAGCACATTCTTTGGGCTGATAAGATATTTCAGACATTTTACTTTAAACTGGCCTGACTACCACAACAAATACAAGGTAAAGAAGCACAAGAATGTTGGTATGATGATACATAACAGCGAGAAATTAAACTGTGAATGAAGGTGGCATTTATAGGTGGAATTACTGACCCTGGACACACTAAAATACAGGCTGATGAGATGATTTCCAGTCTGTGGAAGTGGAGAAGAATTCTACCAGCATTGTAGTCCTTAAGTTCTATCACAAGAGTTTCTCATATTTGTTTCCAAAGAGAAAACAAATTTATTTTCAATGTAAGACTGGAATTCAATAGAACAACTTTGAGAGTAGCCTTATGTTAAAAAAATAGAAAAATATTTGATTAGCAGTTCTTTGATGTCCTCCATATTATTAGGACTGAATCCGTCATCAAATAAATAAGGAGAGGTGGATATGAAAAAAATTGAGGGTATGCAGGTGAGTAAAGTCTCGTTTTGCATCGATGACATTTGATACTTTTTTATTTTTCAGTTTCATACATAGAACATCTGAGCTTAACTATTTTAAGAAGACAGAGGATGGCCAATCATTTCCAGATCTCAGAGCCACATAGCAGGAATTTCGTTTTTTTTACAACAAAATCCTGAACCTGCTGTGACCCAAATGTCAGTAAGTCTGTCCCTAAAGAGGCACGGCTCGGCTACCTTACAAACACCACTACCCACAATCCTCTTGCGGCGCATGCGCACCAGGCGCTACGGCCCCATAGGCGTTGGTGTTCGTGTCCGTCCGAAGATGCGTTACGCACCGGCAGCATCAGTACCAGCTCGGCCGCGCTAGCAGAGCTTCTACCCGGGGACGGAGGGCGGAAACCGGCCCAGTGCGGAGCTCAGGCGGCGCCGGTGCATCTGGACGGCAGGATGGGAGACCAGAAGGTGGGCCGGGGCCGGAGGAACAGGTGTCTGAAGGGGAAGGAGGGGGGGGGGGAGCCGTTTCAGGGCGTTGTGTACAAAGGGACGGAGGGAAAGCGAGCGGCCGAGAGGTTCAGGAGTTTCCTGGACGCGGGACGGAGCCGTGTGTTTGTTTCGCTCGTTTACTCGACGTCGTCGAAAGCGGCGTCCGTCGCCCCGCGCGCAGCCGTAACGTTCACGGAGGGCTGGGCCTCGGCGCAGCTCCTCTCGCATCAACAAACATATTACTCAGCCCCCTTTTTGAATGAATGGGGCTCTTTCACTCCTGGGCGAGGCGTCGGGCGCTGGCAGCGGGAGTGGTTTCCCTATCAGAGGTAGAGGAACAATGCCCGCCCGGTCCTTTGAAGCCGGCCCACATTATGCATTATCACATTACCGATGCGCATCCTCCTGCCCCTGAAGTGTCCTACCTCCCTCTGATCCAGTCTCAGTGTTGCAGCGTGTTCAAAGAGGAGCTCAGAGCCCACAGCTTTGTATTCCCTTCCAGCTAAGCACTGATTAGCCCTTCAGCTTCAGGAGGGCCACTTCAGTGAGCCGGTCAGAGGTGTGGGGGGGGGGGGGGGAGGCCATGAATTCACCAGATGTGGTCTCTCCTCCAGGAGTCTCTGCGTAAGATCACCCACACGCTGGCCGTGAAGAACGAGGAGATCTCCAACTTCGTCTGCACTCTCAAGCAGAGCCTGGAGAACCTGGAGGTGCTTGTCGTCGTCCCCCCCCCCCCCCCAAACGCCGGCCGGACGTTCCCTCCTTCACCGTGTCCTTCTCCTCTGTTTTTCTTTGTGTGTGTGCGGCTGCAGGCGAACTCCGGCCGGGTGCAGGAGGACCTGGAGTCGGAGTTCAGCGCCCTGCACGCCGTCCTGGGCGAGATGAAGGAGAGCATGCTGACGCGCATCAAGCAGGAGAGGGCCAGTCGCACGTACGAGCTGCAGGTCAGGACGCCCCCGTATTCCCATTTCGGGAAGCTTTTCACACCAAACTCATGAAAAGACGAACCACAGCTTTCTGAATATTTTCTTTCTGAAAACCAAACACTCGGCAGAGGTGGGACGGTGTAATTATGTCAGACCCAGACAATCCCCCCACCTCTGTATTCCTTTTAACCACTTAACAATGTCTGAGTATGCAGAAAAGGTGAGCAAATGGGGTCAAACTGAAGCAGAACATGTGAGTGGACTCGGATAAAAAGGGGAAGTGTGTCCGTATTCCGTGGCGCACAATGAAAGTTCAATCAAAGCAAAAGTCGCTTTGTTTGGGATCTGCTTCTTAGGTTTAGCAGTTTGCTTCTACTCAGGTCATTCAAATAGAAACCCTCAAATCTCAGCAAGGATTTAAGCTGCAAAGACAAACCTGCTTTTGGCACATTTTGGAATAAAACCAAACAAAATAACTGTAACTCCCAATGAAAAATCTAATGAAAGACTCGGGATGTAAACGTATCCTGTAGCTGTTTCAAGCCTCGTATAAGGTCAGAAGTTCAGTAAATCTTGAGCGCCGAGGTCTGCAGCCTGGAGACGGAGCCATGACTCTCAAATGATGCCGCGACCTCGGCGGCCCGCACAACGGCGCCATTATTCTGCAGGCAGGCTTGTGAGGCTTTTGTGTGTGACCCGGACTCGCTGCTCCCCCCCAGAGTCAGCTGAGCGCCTGCTCCAAGGCCCTGGAGAGCTCGGAGGAGCTGCTGGAGCTGGCCAACCAGACGCTCTGCTCGGCGGAGGCCGACGGCTTCACCCAGGTGACTGATGTGGAGAGGCGGGCCGGAGCCCGGTACTGGCCCGGTCCGCCCCTCTCCTGTTTTCCCGCGGCAGCCTGAGACGTTTTGTGACAACGTGTTCTCTCTTCGCTCCACATCTCTTCTCTCCTTTTCCTGTCCCCTCTCTGCCTCTCCTCTCCAGGCGGCCAAAGACATTAAGGATAGGTATAGTACTCAGCCACCGGCTGCTTTCCTGTGGTCGTATAGCCTCCTTTTGCCAGAGAGCCATCCCACCATGTAGCCATGCATGCGTTCCCACATGTAGCCCCCCCGCATCCATGTCCTAGACTATGAGAAGTCTGGAAAACCTCCCTCTTTTGTTTTTGTTTCTCCCACTGTGTCCTCGCGCCAGTGCCCCCCTGTGTCAACCCCCCCCCCCCTCCAGATGAATGCTGCTTCCTATCTAGATGTGTTTCTAAGAACTGGTGAATTAGGGTGATGAGTTCAGTGGTAGTCCAAGAATCCTAGTTAGTGGTCTTTTCTTAGTAATGTCTTAGTCATCGGCCTTTTGTTTTCCTCTCCTGGTTCAGTGCAGTAATGCCCCGCTCTTGTTTCCACCCCGTGTGTTTGTGCGTTTTTTGTGTTTGTGCGTTTTTTTTTGTGTCTCACTGCGTGCAGCGTGACGATGGCGCCGGCCTTTCGACTCTCCCTGAAGGCCAAAGCCAGTGACAACATGAGTCACCTGATGGTGGATTTCAGCCAGGAGAGGGAGATGCTGCAGGATCTCAGGTTCCTCCCAGGTCTGCCCCCCCCCACCGACATGCCCCCAGAGACACACACGCAGACAAAAAGAGACTTTTTAAATGCTGAACTCCACTTCGGCTGAGGTGCAGCTTTGCACCAGTGCATTCATACGCCGGTGCAAAGCCGAGACATGGGAGGAGGGGACACGTTTAGTCTGTCGGCAGGTTTTCACGCTGCTGTTTTTCCAGCATCGTTCCGCCATTGTGTACTTTATAATGAGGGAACTCCGATTTATTTGAAGGGACTCGTGTAAAATGCAAACTGACCACATTTCCAAATTATGTTACCTGGTTTTTGGTTTTGGTTTTAGTTGTGAGTTTCTACACAACTAAAACCAGCAGCTCACTGGAAACCTTCGTTTCAGTGGGCTTAATAAAGTCAGAATGTCCATGATGGGACGTTTTAACAGGGCCAAAACCTTCTAATACACAAGGCTGTGCCAATATTGAAGCTTCTTTCCATGGAGTTCAGTCTCTGCCCTGCAGAGTGTCCCACGGCTCAACATTTGCACATGTTCAAAGGCTGCACTTAACTTGATTTGAAATATCCATGAGTACGTATCATGAGAACAAATTGAATCTATCAGGAGGCGAAATCAGGGCAGGAACGGCAGCATGAGTTCCTGCTGTTTGTTCCACCTACCCAGAATGTTGTGTGGTGAGTCACAGAAGCGCCAGTGATGTAAAAGGGGGTCGCACAAGATAGGAAACCACAGCGAAGTCGCTCTACAGCTCCGTGACCTCTTTTAACCAGCCACGCCGGCGTGCTTTTTTTTTTTCTCACTACATGACGGTCGTGTTCGCGCTGCAGTTTGCAGCTCAGAAAAAAAATCACTGCGTGTTTGGAGACTCTACCCGAATTTCACTGCTGTCGGCGGGGAGAAGATAAAATCTGGGTTATGCTGAGAAAATGTCATTTTCAGCTTGTAGAACTCTTTTGGGGTCACACTGCCCCCCAGTGGCCAAAAGCAGTCACTGCAGATGTGCAGTGAACGTACTGAAACAGGCGGTTTGCTGTGTTAAATGTTAAGATCACGCAGCTTTAAGCGACATTTAAGGCTCAGAGGGCAGTTGAAAACGGTCTCCTCCCTTCAGTTCCCGCCACCCCAGAGATCCAGGTGTCAGAGTGCCAGGTGTGCGACAACACGGTGACCGTCGTCTGGACCTTGCCCGAGCCCGACAGCAAGATCGACCACTACATCCTGGAGCACCGGCGGACCAATCACGAGGGCCCGCCCCGCATCAGAGAGGACTACCCCTGGATGGTGCTGGAGGGGATCCGAGAGAAGGAGCACACTCTCACAGGTAGAGAGGGAGTTTTTTTTTTTGTGTGTGTGTGTGTTGGTTTTGTGGTTCATCTCTGAGAAAAGTGAGTCATTACTTGTAATTGTCAGGTCTGCGCTTTGACACCCGATACATGACGTTCAGAGTGAGAGCGTGCAACAAGGCCGTGGCCGGGGAGTTCTCGGAGCCCGTCACTCTGGAAACCCACGGTGAGCCCCCCGATCAGAGAGCCGCGCTCCGGCCGTCTTTAGTCCCGTCCTCCATCTGTAACCGAGCGTCCTGTCTCCCGCCCCAGCCTTCACGTTCAAACTGGACGCCGGCTCGGCCCACCAGAACCTGAAGGTGGAGGACCTGAGCGTGGAGTGGGACAGCAGCGGGGGAAAGGTGCAGGAGATCCGCAAAGAGAAGAACCGAACCAACTCCCCGATGCACTCCCCGGCCAGGTTGGTTTCCCGGTTTGCTCAGCGCACGCCGCCGGGGGTCTAAGTCCTGAGGGTCTCTGAGGGTCTCTGCCTGCTGTCTCCCGTGTAAGCAGGACGGCCCTGATGTCTCCAAAGAGGGCACCGACGGCCCGGCCCGGCAGAGACAGGTTCACGGCCGAGTCCTACACCGTTCTGGGTAAGGTAGCACGCAGCTGTGCCCCCTCTCTGCTCGTCTCTGTGGGGAATGGGGGGCTCAGGAGGAAAAGAGCAGTTGCCCACTGATTGGAGGGTCAGTGGTTCTACTCCATGTTCCTCCAGGCCAAATGTCGAAGAGTCCATGGACAAAGCTCTGAACCCCAGGCTGCCCACTGGTTGCATCTGGTGTGTGAATGTGTGTGTGAATGGTGAATAACATGTAGTGTAAAGTCAGCTTGACTAGAAAAGCACTATATAAGTACATTTACATTTACAAAAACAACACGTGCACGTTTAAAGCATTTTGTCAGTCGCGGGGTTTTCCGGTAAACCCCCAGCGGCCTCTTTCCGGGGCGTTCTGACACCGGTTCGTGTCCCCCCCCCGGCAGCGGACACCATGATCGACGCGGGCCATCAGTACTGGGAGGTGCGCTTCGACAAGGAGAGCAAGGCCTTCGCGGTGGGCGTGGCCCTGCGCAGCCTGGGCCGCTTCGACCAGCTGGGCAAGAGCAGCGCGTCCTGGTGCATCCACCTCAACAACTGGCTGCAGCAGAGCCTCACGGCCAAGCACAACAACAAGGCCCGCACCCTGGACTGCCCCATCCCGGCCAGCATCGGGGTCTACGTCAACTACGACGAAGGTGAAGCCCGCCGGCTCCGTTTGTCGAAAGCAAAACGTCGTACTTCACGTTTCATTATGACGATGAGCCAAATCCGGATTTATTTTCAAACACTTCACGGTTTGACTGTCCTCTCCAGGTTTACTCTCCTTTTACAACGCCAAAACGAAGGTGCTGATGCATAGCTTCAAAACAAAGTTCCAGCAGCCAGTCATCCCGGCCTTCATGGTGAGGAGTCCTTCTGTTGTCCCCCCCCCCCCCCCCCCAGGCGAGGTTTGACCTAAAGCCTTTCTCTGCCCCCCTGCAGGTGTGGAACGGGAGCTTCTCGGTGGTGACCGGCCTGCAGGTTCCCAGCGTGGTGCAGAGCGGCCAGAGGAGGAACAGCGGCACCAGCAGCTCCAACGCCAGCCTGACCTAGCCCCCCCCTCCCCCAGCCGGACGCCGCCCAGATCACCTCCTCTGCACAGGCGGCGTCTGGACGCCGTATCGCCGAAACGCCGAAAGTTTCTACCCCTGCATGACGGCAAACATTGATTTCCAGGAAACAGAAGGCCACCTCTCAGCGACCGGTCCTCCAGGTGTCTTAACCGTGGCTCTCGTAACCGCTTGGGAGGCATTAGCTTTCATCTCAGTTTTTTTCCCCCTCGCCGCACATCGTTTCCGCACTGCTGCTAGAGCTCCGTGTTAGCGCTGGCCGCTGCTCCCCCGCCGCCACCAAAACTGTCCGCTGGTCGTCTCCATCCCTGTGCCTTCCCTCTCACGTCCAAACCCAGCGGTCTGCCTCCACGGGCTTCATCTCCACCAAAAGTTATCAACCCCTCCGTGTTTCTGATGAAAGTCTACTTGTTGTATCGGTGTCAGTGTTGGGCAGAGCGAGCCTCCGCCCACCAGTCGGTCAGTGTTAATCCAATAGTACCATGCTTGTAGATGTTGCCTTAGAGCAACTCAACACTAATTAATCGAGTTTTTAAAAAATTTGCCACGACACGCAAGCTGATCGATATCTAAAGCATTTCACTATGTGGACCTCCGCTTTGCATACGTAAACCAGGTCCCCCAGGCTGAGCATCCACACAGAGTCTGAGGGATTCCTGTTGTGCCGTTATAGGCCAGCGGGGGCTTTTCGGGAGCAGCTCCTGTATCTGAACGCTGCTTCATCCCCATATCCAGCGACTCCGTGTTAGTGCAGCAAAGACAACTAGCAATGAGTAGCCAGCTGCCCGCAGTCCAAACATAAATATTAATTACACAGCCAGTAGTTCCAGCTAACAAACTGTACGAGAGGGAGCAAAGGGAGACACTCTGGAGACGTGTCCTGAAGACGGTGGTTTGGCCCCTCCCTGCCTGCCCTGTTACGTTTCCCCCGGCAGGCCTGCTTCGCCCTATCTGTCCCTCTGTGTGCGTCTCCTGAATAACTGTAGCCTGCAATGCTTTTATGAAGCAGCCAGCTGAGAGTTCTGTTCACGTCATTACACATGCGGACAAAATGTCACCATTTCCTGTATATAGTTTCATTTTTTCACTCTGATGTATTAGTGGTGGAGGTAATAAAGGAGCGTGAGCCTTTTGTTCTCGCACAGCCTTGTGGACGAGGAGCAAAACACAGACCTTCATGAAACTTGTTTTTTTTTTTTTGTTTAATTGTTGCATGGCACATACTGAACTCTGCCCGGTCACACCTGAAGCAGGACATCACCTTCACTTAAAAGCTAGCTACAGTACATATTCAGAACAGGAGGTCAAACAGCTAAAGTCCAACTGGGATTTGTTCTGTTGCTGAGGCAGTTAAACAATGAAATTTAAACAATACGCCTGTAAGGCGGCACAAACATCGTCACAGCTACGTGAAATGATTCATTTGAGTGGCTGAATCTGGAGATAAGAGTGAAAAACAACACTGATAATGGACATCTGACCACAGTAAATGGAAAAGGTGCAAAACTACAAGAGTAACGTGGGGATAATGGGACTTGGGCATCCACCTTCACAGTCCGTCCATTAAGTAATGGATGTCCAAGAGAGTCAAATCAATAAGACGTTGATCTTCAAAGAGGCTCGGCCGTAGACGGCTGATGGAGGGGAAACAGCTCCCCACGCTGAGTCCAGCCTGCAGGGGTGTTTCTGGTCCAGTCTGAGCGCTTTACGGAGGGGGGGGGGGAAACTCATTCCTGACTGGACGCCCTCTGCGCAAATCTGAGCTTCAACTCCGATATCGCCGACCTGGGAACTAGAGCGAATCAGAGGGTGGATTTTTAAAATTGAAAGAAAGATTCAAAATGACAACTATGTAGAAATGTGAGGCAGACGGTCAGCGGAAGAGGGCCAGAGGCCAGCATGCGGACTCACTTTGGTTTTCTTTCATGGTTACAGTCCTGGAATGCGTGTTTGCAGGGGCTGTTGTGCGAGGAGCGGGGACCGGGGGCATCTGTGCTTTCACAGTTTCCCTCGGTGCCGGTTCTTTAAAGACAGAAAACACGCAGATATGAAAGAACACACAGATATGAAAGAACACACAGATATGAAAGAACACGCAGATATGAAAAACAGGCCTCTGCCATGGTGATGGTGAGATAAGGCAAAGCAGAGGGACTTACTCGGCCTTGGAGCAGCAGAGAAGTCGTCCATCTCGTTTTCTTTTGTCTTCTCTGTTTGAACACGGAAAAAGGGTGTGTGGGTTGTAACCAGGGCTCAGAATGATGATGGATTGATGGGCAGGTGGAGCAATACTCACGTCTATCGAAGCACCACCGATTTTCCTCCACGTCTGGTTCAGAAGTCACTATTTTTGGAGAAACTGCAGACAAAACAAACAAAAAAAACCAGAACAATGATTATTAATAGTCTGAAAAAGGCCAAACCCGTAGCCTTTTTTTGCAGGCTGCAGAGAAGTCAGCAGATAGCAGTCGTGATTCACAGTGAGAGCCGGCTGAGGGGGTTTTGTGGGCTGTGTGTCAGTGACCTCAGCACTGAGTCATAAAGCCTTTCTTTATGACACCGACACTGAAATGTGTTGTGTAAATGACAAATCAGTCAGCTGATAATAAAAATGAATCCATTCAGGAACGTATTCCAGAAAGCCACCACTTTTGGAAAATAAAGTTAAAACAGATAAACATAGATAGGCACAAATAGAGAGCTTAATACAAAAGTAAGGGAATAAAAATAAATGCTAATTGTTGTTGTTTTTTATTCTTGCATGTATTTTTCTGCATTCAGCTTCTCGTCTGAGTTGTAAATCTACTTAATTTTGCAGGAACTGCAGATTCCTCAACATTGAAATGTTTTGTTTATGACATGTAAAACAAGCGGCATGCTGAGAGATAAAAAGCCAAACAATAACAGTCTACAGAGAGGCCCGTTGAATGACGACACACGTCATTTCAACAGATTATGTGTTTTTTACGTGTCTTTCTACATGGTTTCAAAGTCCAAAGAAAAACAAAGTGGGTGGAAAGATTCTTAACAAAAGCTCTGAAATGAGCAAACGATCAAAGAAAAGGTGTGTAGCTCAGAAACTCACAAAGCTATCAGGCCATCAGAGGAAAATATGTACAGCTGGAAAACATTTACCACGTCAAACACTCATAAGAACGTGCCCTTCGCTTTCTTGAACTTCTAAATCAAAGTGTGATTCCAGCTAAAGAGGCTCGCATGATAACGAAAGTGTGTTATCTCATGGAAACACTGAGGCACACACAGAATTGAGGAACGGGAATTTCCAAGTCAAAGCGTCAGAGTCAACAGCTCTGCCAGGGTTTGCTCTGTCTGTGGGTGTGTGTGATCGTATCTAAGGAGCCCGTACCTGGCTTGGGAGGCACAGCTGGCGGGTTCGAGTCGGGCAGAGCGTGGCGAGTCCTCTCTCCGCTTTCACAGTCGGACGAAATAAAAGCTGCCAAAGTCGGGGAGCCTCCGTTAGTCGTGTGCGTATTTGGGGAACACGGGAAGACGACATGAGGGCGGCTGCACTCACTGATGCTCTTCTCGTACGGCTCCTCCATGTTGAGGGGGACCAGGCTTCCCTTGGTGCTCTCCACCATGAAGGTGACCACCTGATGCAGCGTGGCGCAGGGGACCTGCAGGGACAAGCAGCCCCTAGATCAGCCCGGGTCAGCCGGGTCAGCAAGATAAGACCTCACCCCCACCCACAGCGTCCGCATTGGACTGAAATCCCTGCAGGTGCAGCTTCTTTTACAGATTTGGTTTAGTTGGGAATGCCCGTCAGAGGTACAGAGGAGATACACACACAGCAACCAAAGAGGGAACAGCCTCATTCAGCTGTCCATCACAGCTCATAAGTGTTTTTTTTAAAGCCTTTTAAGCGTTTACCGGCAATCAGGAGCTCTGCAGCTCTCTCCTACCTCACATGGAGCCATAAAAAGGTCCATTCAGCAGATTTCTTCGAGCAATAAAAAAGGCCTTTTGTTCGCTCGTTCTTTTTACTATATCCAAGTATCATAAACAAGTTTTCTACAGGTGCTCACAGCTTTCTTTCAAATGCTCGACAAAGCCATTTATCTGTGACACATTTAGTAGATAAAAGACTAACAAACCAAGCCTCGAGTTTGACCTCGATCTTAGAGCTACTCACAGGATTTTCCACGTCGATGACGAAGCCCCCCTCATGATTACGACTCACACGGTAGTGTTTGAATATAGCTCTGAAAGAGACACCAATCCGTTTTAAACTGGGCAAAATGAACATGAATACTGTAATTGTGTAAGTCAGGGTGCATAAAAATCAAAGATTACACGAATAATATGAAGACATGTGACACGCAAAGCATGGGGCCAACTCTGTTTCGGTGTCAACTAAATGAGCAGCAACAATACTTTATGCATCCTTTACTGAGGACCGTGCAGTCCTAACTGGAAGGGAATGACAATAACACGATTCGCCTCCAGTAATAACGTTCGTACCCATCAAGGTCCTGCCTCGTGGTGACAGCGTAGGACGCCCCGTCTCGTCCAGGCCTCAGCAGAAAGTTTCCCCTTTCGGCTTCTCTCTCAAGCAGCAGCTCTGCCTCCACTCGGGACACCAGGTGGAAACACCTGCATCCAAACAGAGGATTTGCTCCCATCATCCATCAACACAATAATTTTTTTAAGGAAAAGTGTAGTTTTAAAAAATATTTGAAAATCCACTTATGGATTTAGTCACTGAAAGCTTGAAGAATAATTTTAACAAAAATAGGTCAGTTTTTTTTTGTCAATTTGCAAAACCCCTTATTTTTTATAGCTCTTGCCAGCTGTCACTGGACGAGAGGTGGAGTAAACCCTGGACAGGTGGTCACAGTTAGATGATATGAAATACTGCTATACCTTTAAAAAAAAGGTTTACCCATTAAAACTGTGCTTAAACATAACAACGATGTTCAGAAGCCACATCAGAAGCGATCAGGTTTGCTCGTGTGGGTCACCCATACTGACCCGGGCCCGTCTGCCTTGGGGTTGGCGAGCAGGCTGCTTTCAGGGACAGTGCGTAACACACTGCTCTTGATCTTGTCTTTTTCCTTTTCCACCACCTCTTTCAGCATGTGAATCTGACCTGGAAGCAGGTTGAGGGACGATGGGACCAACAGCTGCAGAGAGACACATTCACCCATGAACGGTCTGCAGATGAAGCCGGCTAAATCTCCACATCACCTCCATCCATCAATCTGGTGTATTTTCTTTTATTCTGCTCAGTGAAAGATCTCAAAAAGCACAAACCTCAGCCACAGCATGGATGTAGCCCTTCCACAGCTCACGGATTTCTGCATTAGGCGCCTGCAGAGACACCAGCGGAGAGAAGAAATGTTAAAAAGGCAACGGCTGGATTCTATTTTTCTAGAAAAAAAAAGCCTTTTTTTATGCAAACTCACAGAAAGTTTCAGATTTTCGTCCTTCATCTGGAGATTGAACTTGGCCGTGTCCAGGTTTCGGTCTGGACTGCTGTCATCTGTTACTGAGACAAACTCCCCGAGGTCCAGCTTCTCAACGTACTGATGAAACAAACACACATGAATATGCATCACGGGTTTTCATCGGCCGCATTCGTGCACCGAATCTCTGAGCTGACTCACATCAGCGTCTCTTTTATCGTTGAAGAAGAACATTGTTTTCCCACAAAGGCTGGTCCACAGTTTTTGAGAGGTCTGCACAAACACACAAAGAGACACGATGAAGTGAATGCGGCACACTGAACTAATAAAACAGAAGAAAAGGATTACCATTGAACAAATGAACAATTATATTTTGCATGTTATGTCAACTTGGAAGCGCATGTCATTGCACTCTGACACATTCTTGGATTGCAGTCAACTGAAAGTAACTTTAGAAGAAACCAAGTACCCTTAAGAAGAAACCAGTGTGAAAGCACTCAATGTTTCATTAAAACTAGATGAAATTTGACCCAAAAGAGTGAGATTAGCCTTTTTACACCAGGGTGTGACGCTCACTCTCTCTTTCCGGGTAAAGGCATTGTATGAAATTACATAAAATAATGTAATAATTACATAATCAAAGATTGTGTGATTAAAATGGAGTCAGAAATAAATCCCAGGTGACACAGAATGCTTCGACATATTCTATCAGATGCTGGGACACACAGGACAGAGGTTTTCTGTGACAGTCACATCTTCATTTTTACACGCTTGCACAGGATTAAGAGCAGACTGTCATCGGATGTGACAGAAAAAACAATAATTTATTAAGTTCCCAAGCCTGCTCTGCCGGTTCGAAGCAGATTCTCGTCAGCCAGTTCCCATTTTACCGAAGCATTTAGTAAACACAGAGCAGAGAAGCCATCAGACCAGTTGGATAGGCAGAACAATGAGAGAGACGTCCACACCACGTGTAGAAATGCAGACACACACTGCACATTGGGGAGCAAATGGGCAAAACACATTTTTCGAAAAGTCTAAAACACTGGTACAAGTTTTGCCAGATCATTTTTTCTCAAACACATGTGACTCAGCAATACTGTCCTAATATAAAGTAAGTAAAGCAATATAAAGTAAACGTATAGAAAAAAAGACATCTGACGTGTATAATGCTCAAAATGAATTCCAACTAAATGTCTTAACAGACAAAATATTTTTTGAGTGAATCGGTGCGTTCAAGTTATTCCTTTTATAACAAGCTTGTCAAAACACATACCAAACCAATAGGAAGGGGACTTCTCATGTCTGATTATTACCTTATCTCTGAACGACCTCTTCTCCAGGTAACCCTCATAGTAGCTCTCAGGCAGCTGGTTCTTGGTTCGCCTCACGCGCCTGGCCATGATAATATGATCAAAATAAACAAATAAATCTGGGCCAGATGCAACTGAGACCAGTCACTAAGTCCTCTGCTAAATCTGAGCAGCTCCAAACATCTACAGGTGAGGTAACAAGTAGTCTGACGTCACGCCCTGGCTGCTGATTGGTCAATGGGTTGAAAGGGGCGGGTGCTCTGATAACAGGTGAGATTTCCCCTAACGGCGACGTACTGAAACCGTGACGTATTGAGGTCTGGTTTTTCTAAAAATAACAACTCTTTTATTTTTATCACACAATACAGTCTATCCTACATTACGGTAAAAGTTGCTTATGAATAGTTCCTCATGAAAAAATAAAAATGCTCCATTTTGCTTTCAGTTATTTCTATCAATCATAGTTCCGTTTAAATTGAGAAAGAAGGCTTTTGATTCTTTATTGTACAGATAGTTTCTTCATTGTACCAGGATCAACAATGAAACGTTTTGTACAACTCATCCTCTCATTTTCCCCTGAACTCCCTCTGGAAAAACTGGGTAGTCCAGAAAGCCAGACAGTAATCCTGACCAGATCCTAGTTTCGCTGCATCGTTTACTGTATCAAGCCCCTCCAAGGAAAACAAATACTATAAGGTATAAGGATGCTAAATGCTACTGATAGCACCAAGTAGTACTTTTTAAAATTTCAGCCATAATTTTGAAATGTATTATTTTACCATCCCCCTCCTTTTTGTGGGGACTGGGTTTTGTTGCTGCCCTCACACTGATTTGTTGTCACTGACAGCAAATCAGTGTGCTGCCTGACCAGAGACAGCTAATTGAATTGGCCTACTTTGGATAAATAAACTTCTTTGAATTAGATTTATTATAATTTAATTTATTTAAGTAACTAGTTGGTGGAAATAAGTATTTGCTGTTGTTCTGAAACTAACAGAGACCAGACCACTAAGAGACCAGGCCCGTAGGGGCGTGTTGTTGTGTTACTTTGGTTAAAGCAATGTACCAGAATACGAAGAAATGCTTTTTGACACACTTTTTCTTGTAGTTGAGGCCTGAGTGATCGGTGTGGATAGAGATAACACACGCCAAACGAGCCGTGATGGCTCTGGGTTTGTCGCCTTTTTTCAGCTCCGTACCTGGAGCGGCGTAGCCGGGGGTCACGTGATCCACCGGCTTTCCTGCGTTTCTTACGCAAAGTGCGCGGCGTCTCTCCTGCGCTTCTTACGCAAAGTGCGCAGGGTCTCCTGTCAGCTCGGCGCACCACCACCCCGGTCAGCGCAGGGAGGCATTTCCTATCATCACTGCGCCCTCGGAGAGCTGAACGCACCGCGCAATGGGGAACAGAGACGACGAATATGACTTCTTGTTCAAAGGTGAGCGGAGCAGACCGGGAAAGCCGGGCGGGCTCGTTTGCCGGGGCTCAAAAGGAGAGACGGGCTAAAGCGCAGTTAGCATGCTAGCTGCGGTACGTCAGTGGTCAACATCAGCTGCTGGCGGCGGCTAACGGTAACTAGCTCAGCGGTTTTCGCGGCGAGAGGGGGTCGGTGGCGGTTTTTACAGCCCTCACCCGCCCGGGGAATCTCTCATTCACCCGCATTCAAAGCGTGGGGTCGTTTTTTTGTTCGCGTTAAAGTTTGACTTCTCCCGTTTGTCGCTCCGCAACCGTTCCACGGACGTTAGGGCGTGTGGCCGGTGGAGTCTTAACCTGTTAGCCGCTAGTCGTGAGGACGGAGGGACCGCATTGACAACAACCACAGGTCGCCTTCCAACAAACGTCGTCCTAACCTGGAGCCACAGACCAAACCCGGGTTTAAACGAGGACAAAACAGAAGTGGCGTATTTTCCACTGGCTACCTTGTCCAGTTAGGTTAACGGAGCGGAAACAGGAGCTCCCTTTGTGCCTGGGGGAGGAAACCCTCCCTGGGAGAGGAAACAAGGGGAAACTGTGGTGTCGCATTGTTTATTGTCAGGTGTCTAATTACTTTCCAGTCGTCTGGAAGATACCTTTCCTGTCAATATGTTGCTCATTATGTGGTATATTAAAGGATATATGTCTCTGCTGCGTTCAGGGGTAGTTGTTAAAGATTAAACTGCTGTTGTTCTGCTATCCTCTTTAACCAAACTTCAGCCCTGTTAGTCACCCTGGAGGAACATTAAGTTCTGTAGTTTTTAATCCCTCGAGAGGGAATCAAAGTTTGGGTGCATAGTCATTTTTTTCCAGCACAGGAAGAAGGGGAAAGCTCCGGGTTTAGTAAATGTATGCACTGTTCTGTGGCAGATGAAGGTCCAGGGAGCGGCGCAGCTGTCCGACACTGATTGGAGGAAACCGATGACTCCTCCGGATGACAGGGAGCCGGAAGCCTTGAGAAACTGTTGAGTCAGGTTTCCCAGAGAGAAGGTTGTTGGCAGCGTTTTCCCCCCCGCCCGACTCCCAGCGGGGCAGAGTCCGATAAGGCTTTTCTCGGCCCGGTTGAGAAACACCCAGCCAGCACTTCTGCCCTGAAAACGTCCCGGGCCGCAGGGCAGCCGATGGCCACAGTCCTGCTCGGGAAAACCGCACCACGGCTTCCTTTAAAGCTGTATTAATTCATTATTCAAAGTTTAAAAGTGGGTGGATCCGTGTCCCTCCTCGCTGGCTTATTGCTGGAGTGCTTTCAAACCTGAAAACTGCTTTTTGTTTGGGCGTCGTGTGAACAGTGTGTAAATCTAACGTTTGGTTCTCCTCCCAGTTGTCCTCATCGGGGACTCGGGCGTCGGGAAGAGTAACCTGCTGTCCCGTTTCACAAGAAATGAGTTCAACCTGGAGAGCAAGAGCACCATAGGGGTGGAGTTTGCCACCCGCAGCATCCAGGTGGACGGGAAGACGATCAAAGCCCAGATCTGGGACACAGCTGGACAGGAGCGCTACAGAGCCATCACCTCAGCGTGAGTGTTCCTCCCGTATCAGTCCTGATGATCACAGGCAGCCTGGAAAAATGTTTAAAAACTGACGGTGGTGTGTGTTGTGGTGATAGGTATTATCGGGGTGCGGTCGGGGCTCTTCTAGTTTACGACATCGCCAAACACCTGACTTACGAGAACGTGGAGCGCTGGCTGAAGGAGCTGCGGGACCACGCCGACAACAACATCGTCATCATGCTGGTCGGGAACAAGAGCGACCTCCGCCACCTCCGGGCGGTGCCCACCGACGAGGCCCGGGCCTTCGCTGGTAAGCAGCAGCCGGGGCCGTTTGGGAGGAGGAGGTTTACCCCGCCGGGGATGTAAAACGTGTCAACTTCTCCCCCCACACCAGAAAAGAACACCCTGTCATTCATCGAGACGTCAGCGTTGGACTCCACAAATGTAGAAGAGGCGTTCAAGAACATTTTAACAGGTAGGAAAATTAAGCACCAGTACAAAAAAACTGGTTAGGGTTTCAAGTAGAATTATTATTCAAACTATCTCAGACCTGATGACGTCTGCGTGTGTGTTGTGAGTTTGACCATAAATGAATGCATTCTCTATTTAGTTTGCAGCTTAATGCTGATTCATGTACTCAGAATGCCCGCTAAGTCCCTCACACAGTGAGAAAGTCCTCCCCATCATTACTCCTGGAAAGCTCGGCCTCTCAGGAAGCCGTTCCATCCAAAGAACTGACCCGTGCCAATTAACCTAATTAGTTGTGACATCTTTTAAGCTTCTTTCTTCATGTGTAATTTGTTAGCTCATTTGGGCCTTTAGTGAGCTGTCACAAATTCACTGGAGGTTATTTTTAGCCTTCACGCTGACCAACTTCATTGTGTTCAGCAAATGTAAACAAGCCAAGAGTTTGATGTCAACTTAAAAAGCAACATCCGGCGGCTTTTCATCGTCCAACAGCGGTCGAGATTCAGGGGAACGTCAGTCTAAAAGAAAATGTGCTGAGTGTGCGCTAACTTTGATCTTAGGGTTGTTTCCATCTTTGGTAATTTTAGCTCCCGTAAGTCGTTCAGTGCAGAGCAACAGATGAAACATTCTTCAGAAAGCTCAGACTCCACAGGTTCTGGAGAAGATACTGCCTGATGAATGCTGCTGATTGGTTAAAAGTGAGCAGAGCCTGACCGACATCAGCCGGTTTCATGACAGAAGGGACGAGGCCTGAATGGCTAAAAGCAGTCTGACCCCTTTAGTGGAGGGTCTCCATCGTCTCAGCACCAGTATCCCGTCCACTTTGACACCAGCACTACAAACAGCCCACTGCTCCACATGAACACTGCTGCCCCCCGGTGGCTGAACAGCACAACAGCATGTAAAGGTGCATTTGCACCACAGAGGACGATGTGTTGAGTTTTTTTGTTTTTTTTTGTACAGCGTAGCCTGTTCGTTTGTGGTGCAGTCTGAAGTAATTTCTCAGCTCTGTGCTGATGCCTCCCTGATTTCAGGTGGAGAACAAGACAGCAGGCACCAGCCTGTGGTTAAATAGCTTCACGTTTCAGCTGCTTTTTGAAAGAAAATGAGCATCGGCTCACAAACGCAGATCAGCTATCGGTAAAAGGTGCAAAAACCTGCTCCCGCCGTGGCGTAAGAGCTTCAGAAGACGCCCTGCAGAGCTCACAACGGCGTGTCCTCATAAACAATGCACGTGTGTGCCCGCGGTCTCCTGTTGAAAAATGCATGACCCATCATTAAGAAACAGACAACAACAGATTGTTGGGTGCAGGAATAATGGGGACAGACCCCCCTTGCACAGCTCCAACAATCAGCGTTCTGTTCCCAAACGGTGGAGAAGGAAGTTTGATGTAACCCAACGGTGGACCAGCCAGTGTTTCCGGCCCCATGCTGCATATTTCCTTAGAGTTTCTAAGTTATTTATTTGTGTTTTTTTTCTTTTTAGAAGTACGTTAACTCTTTTTAAAGGAGTGTTAAGCCCACATGTGTGTGTCCTTGTGTGAAACCCTGCAGAAATCTACAGGATCGTGTCACAGAAGCAGATAGCCGACAGATCTGCGCACGACGAGTCTCCGGGCAACAACGTGGTGGACATCAGCGTCCCGCCGACCACCGACGGCCAGAAGGGCAACAAGCTGCAGTGCTGCCAGAGCCTGTGACCGAGCCCGGCGTCCATCCTGTCCACATTCACCCCGCATCACGCCACCTGTGCACTTTTTCTCTCTCTAGCTCAGCTCACGGCCAACTCCCACATCACTTAACCCTCCTTTCTTTTTTCTCTCCCCCCCTTCATCTTTTTGTTTATGTGTGTACTTTCGAAGTCACTCGCGCTCTTCTCTCCCGCCACGAGAACAGCATCCAGAAGCCTTCATGTCCCTCGGTCATTCGAGTTGTTTGTGGAGTCGTTGTGAAGTCCCTGCAGTGCAGGCGCGAGGCGGTCTTTGCCGTCTCAGTGAAGCTTGTGAAGTCGTTTGAACTCAGATGAAGCCGTCAGGGAGGGGTCGCGGATGCATTTCACTGGCTGCCACTAGATGGCGCCGTGAAAAGGAACCACAGACGGTTGCTCCGAACTGGTGAAGCAGTATTATGCCTTTGACAGAGCGGTCGGTTCTTACTTTCATCATCTATCATGCCAAAAAAATATCCTCATGAAGTATTTATTGAACAATAGTGGCTTCAGTTGTAATTGTTTGACTTTCAGTTTAAGAAACATGAAAATTTCCAATAAAATTCTTGACTAAAGCACTGCGTCAAATTTTTTTATTATTATTGTAGTTTATGGTAAATTGCCTTCTCCAGAAAGGTCAAAGGTCATTATTGCTCTTTTTATATGGGTTTGTCAGAAAGTAATTTTGGATTTCAAACTAGCAGATAAAGCTGGAAGTTAGTTTTCACATCATTGTGCATGATGGTGGAAGTGTTATGGTTGGGTAGTTCTCTGGATGACGGGGAGACAGACTGAACTGGAAGTGGACATTTGAACCGGAAAAACAGATTTATACCAGTTAGTCTCCTTTTCAAGAGCCTCATCATGGTTATAGAGAAGTTACTCTAAAAGACCCCAAAGGCAGGTTTCAGAATGGAATGATAAAGCATCTTTCAGTCCCTGTATCCTATTGTCTGCTCAGGTCAACATGTGGGATGTTTTGACATTTTCCAGCCTAAGCTGCTTAGAAAGCCGATGTGGAGGAGATGTCAGACAAAAGTTGACATTAGCAGGATGTTTTTTTTCTCCATCAGGATTAGTGAGTCCACAGAGCTGTTGTCCAAAACACAGTGAGGCTGGTGAGCCCCTCCCCCGTCTCTGACCAGTTAACCGCTGCTATACTGAGGCCCCCCCCCCCCACACACAACAAACACAGTGACAGATAAATTTAAAAAGAGATCACGGCTCTCCAGATTAATTCCCACTCAGATGTTGTTGTCATGTTTTATTAGCTTTGCAAACAGTCCTTGGCTAACTGCAGACTCCAGTTTTTGGTGTAGTCTTTTTCCTTCACGTCATAAGCCTCTTAGCAATGAAAATATAAAGAATTACAACATAAATTACATATTATACACAATATTCCGGCCTTCTGGGAAAGCTTTGGGGATTAGGATGAAAACAAACTGACACCCTAAAAACTGATTTGTGTCAACAAGAAAGAAAACAATTATTTCAAATCTCTTTTTGATCTTGAACTGTTCAAACTGAAGAGCTTTTAGAACTGCGTCGCCAAACTTTCCCGCAGCGTTTTGGGGAGAAGACGAGCGTGGCAGGTTCCGTCTGACCGGCTCTGAAAAAGCCTCCCCATCCCTCTGTTTTGCATCTGTAACGGCGGCTCACATCTGGGGGGCTTTGGCCCGGCTCCTCCTGGGGGAGAGCCTTGTTTACCACAGCTGTAAACATGTGGATGGTCAGACGTCTGACTGACCCGGCTGCGCTGCCGTATTTAATCCCGACGGGCCGAAAACACAAACAAGCCTCTAAACTGCGGCCTTATGCGGGACAGCCCACCAGGAGCTGGACATACCGCAGCCGGCCGCCATAAACAACAGGCCAGAGGAGGCCGGACCTTTAGAGCCACACCACGTCTGCCTCCTGCTGCTTTGGCACAAACGGCTCAGGTCTGATGGTCCTGAATGAGCACAGATCTAGAGTCACAGATATTATTAGCATGTTCAGGATTTATACTCTCTGACGCAGTCATAAAGTTTCCAGGAGCCAATGAGAAGAGACGCTCAGACGCCGTTTGCTTCAGTAGCTGTTGGGCTTTACACACTCAGTGCTGGACTGTTTTTGGGGTCACGGTCTACATGCAGGATTGGAATCAAGGTTGGTTTTGGAATTGGAGCTATTTTCAGAGCCTCTGTAACTACCTTTCAGCCCGTGTCCCCGCGGACCCCCGCGGCGGGCGCGACAGGCAATCAACCGTCTCCTCATAACCCAGATCCGGTGTCCCACCGCGGAGCGCCTCATGACCCCAGTGTGGCCCCCGGCCCGCTTTCCACACGCAGATAAAAGGCCAGACAACGAGGCTTCAGAACGCCAGCCCGGCCCCCAGAACCACCGGTGGAAACGCTCCCTTAAACGCCATAAGGAGGGGAGTTTCTGCCCGGCTGTTTAAATATCAACACCAACTGGAGAAGTGCTGACGATACGAGAAGACTTCTCAGAAGACACAGCCGAGGGCCCAGCTCGGTGGGAGTAGTAAATCCATTCAATGTTCAGAGGAGTTAAAAAAATACGTCTAGTAAAAACAAAACTCATCAAAAGTCATTAACAGTGCTGCTTGCGTGCTTTACTGTGCATGTTGGAAGAGGTCTCTGTTTTTGTTATTGCACATTTCTGGTGCTAACCAGCCGCCCGCTCGGATGAAATGAGAAGACTCTGGGAGAAGGTTCCAGTTTCCTCTGGGACTCAGTCTGAGCCGCTTTCAGCCCGAGGTTCTTCTTCTTCTGGAGGGAGGAGGCGGGTTCTCGTGCTCCTGCCGGCCGCGGGGGGGCCGTTCCAGCCTGTTCACGGCTCCACAGCCCCCCCCCCCTCGGGGCTTTTGCATAAACTTTGTGAGCAGCCTCCACTGAGTGGGCCGGTTCTGCTCTGGCAGCAGGAGGAACTCATAAGAAGCCGCATGAAAAAAAGAGACGCAAAGGGAAAAAAAAAAATGGAAGGAAGAAAAGCAAAAGCCCACGAGTGCTTTTTGAGTTCCCGCCAGCGGGCGGTGCCTCGGGCAGCAGCTCCGTCTCACACTATGCTCTCACTGGCCGACTTCTTCAGTTTGCTGGACAGCAGGGAGTGCTGGGAGGCGCTGGACGGCCGGGCCTCAGGGAGCAGCAGACGCACCTTCTGGTTAGTTCTCCTCCACTCAGAGTAGAGCTGGCAGTGGTAGCGGAATGAGACCTGTGGAAGCAACCGGGGGGGGGGGGGGGGGGCATTAACCTCTGCTTTTCCCGTCAGGATTGAACCAACGTGTGCGAGTGGGCTTCTTACCAGCGTCCAGAGGACGTAGATGGTGAAGAGGGCGATGGTCAGGGCGATGAGCCCCACCGCCTGCAGCCAGCTGCCCAGCTGCAGGTGGTCCTGGGCCCCCCGCAGACACAGCCAGCCGGAGATGGCCGCCAGAGGCGTGATGAAGAGGAAGCACACCATGTCGCAGAACAGCGTCCGCTTCTCGTTACGGGGGCCGGGGTCCTGCAGCCACTGGGGGGGCAGAGGGGGGGTGGTGAGAGACAGAACCCAGTTGGAGTGAAGCGGCAAACCTCCCCTCTCACTGCGTACGCACAGAAAACTCCCAAAGCGGAGGAGGAGGAGGAGGAGGAGGAGGAGGAGGAGGAGGAGCATATCTGTGAACACTCATCCAGGTTCTGGTCAAGCTCGGAAAGTCCAGTCAGACAACTGGGCGGGAGGTTTTCCAGAAGACGTTTGGCCTCTCATCCAAGAGGCTTCGTCAGTTCTAACTAATGGTGGGGGGCTCTGAGATCAAGATAAAGAATTGGGGGGGAAAAAACAATAAACAACAGGTGGCTGTGACCCCTCCTTCCGGATGGGCCGTAGTGGTCACCTGTGGGGTGTTATTGGTCGTTAGGGAGTTGTGATGGCTCGTTAACGTAGTCTCAGAGCTTCCGACCATCAGTCAGAGCTGACGAAGCCTCTTGGATGAGAGGCTAAACGTTTTCTGGAAAACCTCCTGTCCAGTGGCCTGACTGGACTCTCCGATCCGGAGCAGGAGCAGGAGGAGGAGGAGGGGGAGCGGGGGGGGGGGGGGGGGGAGGCGGCCGTTACCCCGGTGAGGGGCCGGGGCCGGCGCTCGATGCTGAACTCGGTGTGGCAGAGCTCGCAGTAGCTGGTGTTGGAGGAGGACAGCCACCTCTCCAGGCAGCTCTTGTGCACGGTGCCCAGCGTGCCGGTGCAGTCGCAGGGCGACAGCAGCCGCTCGCCGCCGCCGCCCTCGTGGCAGATGCGGCAGATGGGGCCGTCGCTGAGCCAAAAAAAGAGGATTTAGTCAGAACCACCTCCACACACGTGCACCACAGCAGCAGGTAGAACTGAGCCTGGGCTAAAACGGGCAGACGGGGGGGGGGGGGGGGCACCTTTGGACGCTCATGGGCTTGAGCACGGACGACAGCAGCCGCCCGTCGATGGCCGTGACCTGGGTGACGTAGAGCGCCTGACAGCCGTCTCCGCCCGCCTCCTCCACGCTCTTCCACAGAGCCGTGCCGCCGGCACAGTCGCACAGGGAGCCGGGCAGGTGGCAGCAGCCGCCCGTCGTCATGGCTACGGGCTGCAGGCGCCGCGGGCCGGGGAGAGGCCGTGCACAGCTGGAGGCGGTGGATGACTGGGGCCGCCGCCAGCCGAAGCTCTTCCCTCTCGGCTCCTGCAGACACGGACACAATGGATTTAGCTTAGTCAGAAACAAAGAAAGGAAAGGACGAGATTCTAACCAGCTACGGAAAACAGGTGCACTGGGCTGAAATAACCACAAAAAAGAGGAATATATTGCTCTGCAAATAGTTTAACATGCCTTCAAATGTAACATAAATTATGTGAATAAGAACGATGAAATAGCTAAAAACAAATCCTCCTCCCATTGTTAACAATAAATTGGTTAGATTTTACATTTTTGTGGCTTTTCCTTTTCTTTTGTGTGTTTTTCCAAAAATACTTATTTCTCTATGTTCTCATATCTACCATTCAATCTGTTCAGAAACAGACAATGAGGCTTTCAGACTCTAACGGAAACGTTTTAAATCAAACTGCACTCGTTCAGTTCCGTTCACTATTTCAAAATAACATCATTACCAAATAAATGTCCACAAAGAGGAAGAGTAGACAGATGACACCACATCTTGTGGTAAAAGCAAATATCGCCCCAAATGTGACGCACGGTGTTGCCACAGGCGGCTCGTCTCACTTCCTGCTGGACATTTGCACCGTTCAGGAGAGAACTGGACGTTTGGACGGATGCCAGTTCAGCCAGAGCGGCTTCTAATCCACCGAAAAGCCAGAAGAGTGTTTTCAGTGGCAGTGACTGAGCTGTGCGGCCGTCTGATAAACAGCTGTCTCCTCTCAGATAACCCCTCAGCACAGATAGGAGGCACAAGCCCGGATGTCTTACAGCCTGCGGCCCGTTTGGTTCACTTCACTGCCCTAAAATGTGTCATCTGTGCTAAATACTCCAATATAAATGGATGCACTGAGCAGAATTATGCTTTACTTAGTAGAAAACAGAGGTTTTTTGGCAGGGATCACGTGAGAAAAAGTACAATAACATACATAAGTGTCTGTTGAAATTAGATTTAATTTCTTTTGGGGGGTGTCAGTTTTAAAATCATGATCTTCTCACTGGGGTTTATCATTTCTCTGTTGGCAACATAAGGCTCTAAAACCCACTTGTAAACGACATAATAACATCTGTATAATCCTGTGGGCCAAACATTGTTTTTCCACGAGATTAAAACAGGCCCAAGACAAAGAAAACTGCGTCTCTTCAGAAATCCTTTGTGCAAAATTAATGACTGAGTAAGAACTCCAAAATACCAGAAAAATAGGAACTCGGGAGTTTGAACGCATCACAGAGTCTGTGGGGGGGGGGGGTGGGGGGAAAAGGGGGGGGGGGGGGGGGGGGGGGGGGGGGGAGGACAAAGGACGGAGTGGAGCTGAGCTACCTGCAGAAAGACCCACAGCCTGATCTTTGACCCAGACAAACAAAAGACGAACCCAGATCCAAACCCAGACAGCAGCCAAAATTGATCAGTTTTTGTTTCCACGAGTCTTTGATAGACGACTTGCTCCAGAGCAGATTAAACCGAGGGTTTTCTTTACGACGAAACCTGCGAAATTCGGAACAAATTCCAAGATATCTGTCAAAATAAAAGACGAGCCCACGTCGTGTGAATGTGGAGACGTGGTGCCACGCGAACTGGCCCCGGCTCAGTCTAATCCCGGCTCCTTTGGGTGCTTTAACGAGGCTGCTGCAGACAGATGTGGGACCCGGGACCAGACTATTGTCTGGAGCCCGGTGTTACGGTGCCCGCGAACCGTCCGGCGGCGGCAGGGAGCAGAAGCGTCTCGCAACGCGTGTTTCAGCCCCCAAAACACGAACACCGAACTTCTGCCCTTTTTGTTCTGGACAAACACTTCCAGGCGAAGCTTAACCGTCCAGTAAATAAACGTATCCGCGACAGCTGTGCTGCTAGCTGTCAGTTGGTACAGTTAACCGCTGCCGACTACGAAAAACAAAACAAAAAAGAAAGAGAAAACAAATCCAAGCTAACGGCAGCTACTCACCTAGCGTCGTCTTCTCAGTGGGAAGCAGACGTTACCGCCCAAACTGCCTCAGTTTCGTTGCTTTTCGCCATGTTTTTTTTTTTTTTTTCTGTTCGTGTGAAACGAGCCGGACGCGGCTGTGCGCAGTCTAAGCTAGCTAGCAGCTCTCAGGCAGCTGGTAACGGAGCGGAGCGCGCTTCCGCTTTCCCGGGGCTTTAAATACACCCCCGGGGCTTCTGCGGGCTGTCTGCGGGCTGGACGGGGTGTCGGGCTGCCGGCTGTCTGTCTGACGGCTCACTCCGGACGAGCTGAGACACAACAGAGGAGTGACAGCTGCGAGTCGAAGGGCGCACGCGGAAGAAGACGTCATGCTCCGCGTGGTCCCAGGAAATAAACAGGACCGGGGCAAAACAATCAGCCCCTGTTAGAGTCTGACAAAACAATGTCCACAGTCTTTATTTACAGTGTGTTTTTGAAGGAAGAGTAGAAAAACTGCTAAGTACTCATAACATATTTAATAGTAATCAGGGAAATGCATTCGATCATACTCTGAAAGTCGTTTTATTTTTAAGTAAGTTTTTCTAGTTTGATAATACTCTAAATGATACCACCAGTATTTAATAGCCTTAAAGGCCTGTTGTTTATATTAGCAAATCGAGGGATGTGGTTGACCACAGAGGGGTGTGTGCTGTTTACAACATGCTCAACAGAATCACCGCCCAACTGGCAGCACTCCCACGAATATGTCCAGCTTTCAGTAAAAGCTGTTTCCTGAATGGTCACGGCCATCAGACAGAAAGTTCTGCTTTATTCTGAATGACACAAAAGTGGCACACTGTGCCCTTCCATCACTTAACATGCACTTAAAGTCTATCACAGACATTGAAGAAATCATACATCAGTGCATTTCTGACCAGAAAAGAAGGCATTTAATTAAAATTCAAAAAGTTTGCATTTCTGATTTTCAGTTCCCGTTTCCGACAGCAACCAGATGGTGTCGAATCGAAGCCTTAAACTAAGATGATGTTTTTTTTTTATTACTTCTGAAATGTTGGCTGATAACATTCTTTTGTTAATCCATTCTCCTGAAATGACACACTCAAATGACAGCACAGGATCATTTATAGAAACATTTCTTGTCACAAGGCTTTTTGTCCCCCCGCATGCTGTCAACCGTTGCCTCAGCAACCAGCAAAAAAATGTGCAGATGCAGAGGTTTGAAAATGAGAGTTTGTTCCATTGAAATGACTGGACATCAGCGCAATAACAATTTTCAATTATTAAAAAAAAAGAAAAAAAGAAAAAAAAAGGGAAACAAAAGTTGATTATCCAACTTGAGCGACAAACAGCAAATCATACATGTTTAATAACGATACACCTCACTATGCATTTCCTGCGAATGGCCAGGGCTGCTCTGGAACGGACAGAAACGAGAAATGCCTACACTCACTTCAAATGCATCTTTTTCCTTTGGTATTTTCAACACACGCAGACACACATAAAAACATTGGTTTCACACCTGCCCATGTAAAGTCAGTCAGCGGCAGCCAGTCGGAGGTCGGGCTTATGCTAATTTCATGCCAGAGCGGGCAAAAGGCTCCGAGGAGCAAACGGAGTCTCCGGACTACGCATCGATGCTCCGGACGCACCTCGACTCCTGTTCCCCGGCAGGATAGACAGAATCAGGTCAACCACACATGAAATGAAATTTCCACGGCGGCAGATCAGGACATTGATCTACACGCAGGTTGAGAACAGGGAGCGAGGGGAAGATGCCGGGAGCATTGATAAGTAGGCCTGCTGATCCCTCACCAGTCCGTCAGCAGGAGTGGGTCAATAGGATCATGGAGTGAATTAAAAAGGGATTGTAGTTTACTACAGCTCCGGCCTCATAAGAGCGTCACACTCCTCCCCCTGCCCACTCCGAGGCCGCGGTACGTTTCCTCTGGAGCGAGAGGAGGGCCGAGAGAAATTCAGCAGAGAGGAATGTCAAACCGAAGAGCTGTCGTATGCAAATTCTGACACAACAAAGACGAAATAAGAGCAGCTTGATAGTCGAAAGAAAAGCAGAGGTGAGGCGAAAATAGAGGATGAGGAGGGGGGTCACAGGCTCTGGCAGCAAGGCAGTTTGTTGCCTCTCTGCCCGTCCATGGTGGGGGGCACGCTGATGTCCACCACGTTGTTGCCCGGAGAGTCGTCGTGTGCGGATCTGTCTGATATCTGCCTCTGAGACACGATGCGATAGATTTCTGTGGAGAAAACGACAACGTAGTTCAAGACGGTTACGACAGAGTCAGACTGAGCTGAAACATCAGACAACTTGTGTTCAGGTAACCGGACGGACGATTCAGAGCTCAATACAAATGAGAAAGTCTAAGTGTTTCTGATAGGTCCCACTATTCCCTGTATCTGGAAACGTCAGCTGAACGTGGCAGAGTTCAGCTGACTGGGCTCAGAGATTCACATCCAAGTGAGTCCGTCCTTTATTTCCCCCGGATTCACATTCTTGGACTCGAGCCTTTCCATCCAGCTCTTCTTCTGCCTGGTAGAGTTAACCGTGTGAGGCTGTTTCTGCCCACCCAGAACAGGCTCTCCCGTTTGGCCCGTGGTTACGCTTCCATCTCTGTAATGACGTCACGCAGATGCTCGTGATTCTTACCTGTGAGAATGTTCTTAAATGCTTCCTCTACATTGGTGGAGTCCAAGGCTGAAGTTTCAATAAACGACAGAGTGTTCTTTTCTGAGGACGACAAACACAGGAATATTTAACTTAGAATGGGAAATTAAAGGATCGTTAATAACCATCTAATACATTTTCATGTAAAATATTTATGTAAACTGAGGGATGCAAAAATGTCTGCCTTGCTTTTTGATGGCGAGGCTTTTAGAACAATCTTCCCTTATTAAAACACAGTCCACATTTACCCGTCTGCAACCTGTGAGGACACCGTAACCGGTCGGCAGTGGAGCGAACACACTTAAACGCTCTAGAAGCTGAGAACCAGCTCCAGGTGCACAGCCCTCTTATCAAGGACACTTTAAACTTGTGTCCTATTCCACTTTTTTCTCCAGCTGAATAGTCTGGAGCTGCGTCTCCAGCCTCTGAGCAAAGGCTGAGGGCTTACCAGCGAAGGCCCGGGCCTCGTCGGTGGGCACCGCCCGGAGGTGGCGGAGGTCGCTCTTGTTCCCGACCAGCATGATGACGATGTTGTTGTCGGCGTGGTCCCGCAGCTCCTTCAGCCAGCGCTCCACGTTCTCGTAGGTCAGGTGTTTGGCGATGTCGTAGACTAGAAGAGCCCCGACCGCACCCCGATAATAGCTGATGGGAATGACAACAGGAGAGGAAGGTTAAATACTGGACACATTCAAACAGGGTAAAATAATACAAAACCTCCTTCGTGTGACAGCTAGATGTAAAGGGACACTGTACAGAGGACACTGACTTAGTAGGGCCCTCAACATCCTTTTTAGTCACAGGACATTTGGTGTTCATGAACACATAATCCTCCTCTCAGAGCAGTAATAAATGCAGCATTAATACAAACTCACGCTGAGGTGATGGCTCTGTAGCGCTCCTGTCCAGCTGTGTCCCAGATCTGGGCCTTTATCGTCTTCCCGTCCACCTGGATGCTGCGGGTGGCAAACTCCACCCCTATGGTGCTCTTGCTCTCCAGGTTGAACTCATTTCTTGTGAAACGGGACAGCAGGTTACTCTTCCCGACGCCCGAGTCCCCGATGAGGACAACTAGAACAAGAATATACGCCACATGTGCATGAGAAGAGCAGCCCTGGTGTGTAAGAGATGAGCTCAGAGGTGAGAAGTGATGCTGGGGCTGCCGTCCCGATCTCCACGACACATCGTCCAGCATCAGACAAGCAAACAATAACATTCAATCACGGTGGATCCGGCCAGTGCTTTTTTTCCTATCAAACAATATGCAAAGTAAACCAGCAAGAACACCGAGCACAATGCTCAGGTTTCATGTCATTACATCGTAATGCGTTGCTTATAGAGGCCACAAAAGAGGTTTTAGGCTCCCCATAACTACATACAGATGCAAAACCTTTATGTTTAGAGGCATTTTAACCATGATTGAAATAAATAGTATTACGTTTTGATATTGGAGCATCAACCAAGTGATCTGGTTTATATTTGAAAAATAACACAAAAAAATAGAAAGGCTTTTTTTTATCGGAAAACTTTAAGCTACGCAGATAACTTATCAGAGCTTGCAGTTCTTATTGGATACAGACTAATAATACAAGAAATGGTTCAAATTGATAAATGACTAAATAGCCTTGGCTGTGACTGGAATGAATCCAGCAGACCAGCTGCCCGACGTGCTTTTCCAAAGATCAGGGGGAGTAAATGTTCACTAACTAGCAGTAAAACAGGTTATGGCATTTTATATAATTGTTTTTACAGGGGGCAAGTTGCTAGCACGTTAGCAAGATAGCTTCTCACAGACCACTGCTGTACTTATTGTTAGCCTGTCATCTCTGAACTCTCTGACTGGTTCGAGACTTTAAAATGAAAATCATCAGTGTCCGGACACCCACATGAACACATAAGTTTAAACACTAACGGGGTTTTACAGAAGCTATCATGTTACCGCCTGCCGTATAGCTAACTTTAGCATCTATGCTGTTGACTTCCTCTGCTCCCCCAGATGTCACTGAACATCTATCGAGATGACGGTGCCGTTGTCATTCGTCTATATTAAATGAGAAATTACCTTTAAACAAGTAGTCGTATTCATCATCCCGAGTTCCCATTTTTGAAGACTACTTTTTGCTCTTTAAATATCAATAGCCGTCTTCGTCTACCGGGTAGCCCAGAAGTTGACACCACCCTCGAGTACAGCAAAAAGGCACGTGAGTCCAGGAAGCCCCATTTCAACCAATTACAAAGTTAATCTACTTGATTGGCGGAGATATTAACCAATCATTTAAACTCTTTGAAAATACTAGCCAATCAGTGGGCACACAGGGACTGTGACGTGTTTTCAGAGTCTTTGTTCTCCAGAGATACACACCTATCGCCTTTTGGAAGACTGGAAATTAAAAGGCAGAAAACTTTGGACAGAACTCTAACGTCACGTTTGATAAGGGGAGAAAAACCTTCAGTTCTCCGAAAGTTTATTTCAACGGCACGTTTTCTTAATCATTTTTTTATTTAGAGGAAATACTTGTTTGACCTGGATGCATCGACTGGTATCAACGGCATGATGCTCTAAACAAAACAGCTAGTTATTAACATATATACAATTTACATATATGTTAATAACTGTTTTTTTTTTTATTCCACTGACGTATTTCAACGTGGACGGCCCACTGGCTGAATCTAATGATGAGATAATTACGACTCAACGTCAAAAAAGGAACCTTTGGCAATGTAATACTGCACACTGACTTTGACAAAGAAATTATCTTTAGCTTAACTCGTTTAGTAAATGAACCCAAAGCACAACACTTTTCTTTGCAGGGGCAAGATAGAGAGAGAGAGAAAACACTCTTGTCAGGGTTCTGTGTTCTGGCACCACCATGAGGCAATATTCATAAAAAAAAAAAGAACAAGAAGTAAATACATGACATGATCTTCATGGACAATTCATAGAACTGCTTTATTTTATTTTCAGTCTGATTGAATCCAAACACACGCACACACAGCCATCTATTTATCCTCACGTATAAATAGATGAATTTACACAGATATACATAAATACACTTTTCTGATATGCATATTTAATCTGTAAATCATGCTATGTCTCTGTAACAGACTCTCCCTATAGGATGAGGGCACACAGCGATTTGAAAACACAACACAGCAGAACAGTCGGAAGAACCCCTACTGATGTGCATGTTAAGTAGAACGCACAAGTCTTTCAGTTATGGATGTCATACAAAGAAACAGCGGGGGATAACAGACCATAAATATACAGTAGTAGCATCTCAATGGACACACTGAAGATTATGGTACAGTAAATCATGTAGATTGCAATATTTTCTTGCCCAGCTGCGAAAAAAAACAAAAAACAGAAACACACAAGAAAAACCCAAAACCAAATAAAAATATTCTACAATTCAAATGGAAAATATATTTGTATATCTTTATATATGTATTTATAGATTTATGTACACATTCTCAGGAGCACGACTATGAGGATGAAAAATAAATACAACACAAGTGAGAACAAAACTTAGAAAAACAACAGACCCACGTGTAAAATTTCTCAATAAGGCCTTTAAAATGAACTCCAAATGACAGACTGTACAAAATACCGCTGCTGTGGTCTTCATCTGATCAACAACAGCAAACTGATAACAACTGGCCACGGCACGTCATGAGAACAAACTGATTTCTATTTTACAATGCCGGACATGTGGCGGCCCTCCCCTGACAGCTGCAAACACACATAAAAAAGCATCAACCAACCGAAAGAGAGTCGCTCCGACGTTAGATTTAAGGTCTGTTTTTAAGTTCTACGATGTGCGACACTACAGTGAACACTAAGCCTACGATGACCGTGACTGACCGCACCAACACACACTCACACAGTCCTAAAATAAAAATCAAAGTATCAGCCCCCTTGCGAGCAGGGATACTCATGTTAAGACTTAAAAATATTACTTCTGGATGATGAAATATATGTTTATTTGGCCTCTATCACTAGTTCATCTTCAGGTCCTTTTAATAAGTGCAAACAACATTCAAGCCGTTCACAAACTGCTGTGTCCCTCCAGCTCAATATGGAAATGCGACGTGTTTGTCCGTATATACAGATAACAGGTACACTATCGACCTCAAATACTACGGATGGTCTACACTTACAGCCGTTTGGGCTGTCTGTTTGGTGGATTTTGTACTGGGAGGAGGGTGACTGACACCTGGACAGTCAATGCCACTGATATATTTATATATATATATATATATATGAAAAAAACCCAGCACGTGTTGAATTTGTGTGCATCTGTCCAAAATTAGGGCAACGCTGGAAGACACGGCAATAAAGAGGACGTTACAGTAATGAGCGTGTCTGCTGGCCTCCTGTTAGGAGTGAGGCCTCGCCGTTTGCGGCCCGAGCCAGAGCTCTGCCACGCCGGCAGGCCGCGTGGTGACCGGCGCCGTCCTGCTGCCCGACACGACAAACAAAGGGTCACAGACACACAAAAAGGCCCGAGTGAAGAGACGACCGAAAGAAAACACAAGTTCTTTGGATGCAATTTTTCTTTTTTTTAAAAAAGCAATCAGTTTTTAAAACCAAGTTCAAATAGAGAAACACGTTTTCAGTCGGAGTCCCAAATAAAAATGTAGCAAAAAACATTGACGGTATAAACAACAACTGTGTAAATTCAGTAATCTCTGTATATTCTGGCTGAAGCGTGGGGAGTTTTACGTCTTACAAACTAAGCGGCGTATTTCTGACTCTAAAATGCGTGGATGGCAGACGTCCGGGGATGATGGAGAGTTTCTCTGACTGAGCCCCCTGGGCTTTCTCACCCGGCATCCTGAAACATGCCTGGGCGTGTTCACGTGCACACTTCTGTGACGTGAGAGGAGCCGCTTTGACCGATGCTGGTTACTCCGTTACTTACACCGAAAGAACTGCTGCTCATGTTCGACAATGTTATAACAACGGTAATAAAACAACTTAATTCTGTGATCCTTTAAACTGAGCAGAGAAGTCCCCCCCCCCCCCCCCGGGCTGGTTTCATCGGATTTGGCGTGCGGCGGAAAGCAAACGCCCAGCTCTGAAAACGGCCTCCACATTGAAAAATCTTAAAATCTTAAGTGTCGGCTTGTACTCAACAGCTTTGGGGATGGACAGAAAACCTCCCCTCTCAGGAGGGTCCTCCTCTGTGGTGGTTTCGGGTGACATCGGGGGGGCTTCTCGGACGCGAACTGGAACGAGTGAAGGAGGGGGTCCAGCAGCTCGGCTCACTTCACAGCGGCTCGTGCTGCTGAGGAGATTCAGAGAGAAAGTCTTTGCCTGCGTGGGACAGGCCGGACTGCCGGGGCGGTTCATGAATGGTAAACACTGAAGACTACAGCCTCACACAGACGTGGTCACACCTACGTACACATAATCATTAAACTGATGTCATGAATCTAATTTGTTTAGGGTGAAAGGCAGGGATGGTTGGAGGTCAGTGATGTCATCACTGGCAGGATTCCCCCCCCCTCCCCCCCCCCCCTTCCCCCCCTCTGGTGCTCTAGTCCCTTCTCCCTCTCAATATGTTTCAGAATTCATTTAAAATCCTCCTTCAGACAGAGATGGCGCTGCTCCCTCTGAGGTCTGGACTTCAGACTGGTGAGTCTTTCCCGCTGTAACGTCACTCCTCTCTCTCTGCCAGAGAGCAGGCTTTACTGCGGGAGACACAAAGGACAGGTCAAGGTGGTCAAACATCTGTTCTCAGCCAATCAGAGGTGGCAAATGAAGGTGTTTTGATCAGGTGGGGACAGGACACAGCGAACCCCCTCCTGTCCGTTAGTGCTCCTTATTTTTCTTTTAGGAAGAACTTGACTCAGCCGATGCCTTTAAGAGCCAGTTCCACCTGCACAATTTTAAGCTGTGCATTGAAAAAAAAGGAAAAAAGCACATACTTCTAACAGCTCCTCTAATATGACCACAGAGTTGAGAAATTCAACAGCAGCTGGAAAGAATTTGTGTTTTACCTCTCTTTACTTTGAAGTGTTAGAATAGGTTTTAAACATGACCTGTGTGCAATGTTTGGGAGCAGAAAAAAGAGGGGAAAAGCTGGGAAAAATAAGCCCATGTTGATGGTACTTTTCAGAGGGTGGCGTACAGCGCGGAGGGGAAATGCTGCCAGACAGAACAAAAAACAAGCGGCTCACCATGCTTAAAAAGGGGGAAGAGTCAGAGGCAGGGACTCAACACTTCCACTCTAACTCTGTCTGTATGTTGATCTAACAGCTTTTAAATATTCACCAAACAGTCATGATCATGTTCGTGCAAATTTCCTTCAGCACTGAAAATAAACAAACGACTAACAAGCTAAAAACTGACAGATTTCGTGTAAAAAAAAAAAAAAGGCAGAGCCAGCTGGTAAGTGTAAAGTATTGTGTGAGGTGAGACAGAGGATGTGAGTTTTACATCCTCCATGGCTTGTTGGCGGACAGAAAACGGGATGGACGAGATGGATTCAAAACCTCCGCCTTCCACCCGTGAAAAATGGCAGCTGTGATGCAGGGGCTGGTCTCTCACACCGGTAATGGATTTCTGGAGCCGGGAAGGGCGATCATGTCAGTGTGGGGGGAGAGAGCTGATCTGATTCGCCGTCTGAGGGGAACCTCCTGTGCTTTGTGTTTCAGTCTGATGCTTCTCACTTACTGTCTCTCTTTCCCAATCCCCATCTGGCAGGGCCTTAGACTCTGAGCCATAGTGTAGCGGGGAGTACACCCAGGTCCTGTCCTCTGGAGGCTGTTTTTACACACCCACCACAGCAGAGGGGGCCAGAGAGACAGAGGAAAGGCCAGAGGCACAGAGACAAGCAGCAGGAGCAGGCAGGAGAGAAAGACACAGGACACCACAGGAGAGAAGACAAGACAGGAAATGAAAATTAGGGATGCACAACGGAGGAAATGTATCTGAGACAAATCACAAAGTGTGAATTTTGACATGTTGAAAGTGCTTTGAGGTGCAAATGAGCCCTGGATCTGTTTTTGTTTTTTTAAACGTCTGGCAAATCACTTGGAGACTGACAGAAGTGCTGTGGACAGTGGAATATCACAGTGGGTCTTAGCGGTGTGTATTTCATTGACGTCTGTGTGTGTGTGTTTTGTGACACTTTGAGCGGCTGGAGATGCGACTGCACGGAGCGAGGGATGAGATGCTGAGTCAGCCAAGCGGGGAGCATGAGGAGTGAGGAGGAGATGGGGGAAGCCAGGATGCCCAGACAGGCACACACAGAGAGCATCCTCGATCAGAGTAAAGCAAGGGGAACAAGATGTCTTTCATTGTTTTTCCAACAAGCAAAAAAAATAAAAAAAGATTCTGTTTGTGTAATGTGTAATGGCTCTGCGTTCGCACACCCGTGTTGTTTGGGGCCTCTGACACATTATGAGTGGCTGTCGTCCATGTTAACGCGTCTCAGCTTGTAGAAGAAAACAAGGAGGTGCAAACCAGGGATGGGATTTCCTGACTCAGATAAAGGGCCTGTTTAGTGTCCCCGCCTCAGAAAACGCAGAAAACCACCAGCGGGAGCACTGCGGCCGTGCGTTTGATGACAGAAAGGGGGGAAACTCTAGTCTAACACCCACCAGGACACCAGCACTAACAAGACAGGCGCTGCCTAACTCACTGCTCACTTACTGGCCGACAAGATTTCCTCCTCTCTCGGAAAGGAGAGACCACCCAGGTCCTGCCGTCAGGAAACTGACAGCAGCGTGCGTACATACAAACAAACAAACAAACAAACAAAGATAGACAGACAGGATGAATGGTGGTGGATGAGGACAGAGACAGCAGAAGATAAAAAAAAAAACTAAAAAAAAACTGAAGGCACGCGGAGGTGAAAATGGAGGAGGGTTGTGAGCCGCTCAGCCCTGCAGAGACACAGCCGGTGAGTCAGTGGTGACGGATGCCGTCACACGTTCTGCAGCCTCCTTTCTGCGTCCCGCCTTCACACGGCATTCACACGCCAGCACTTTCACCATGACTCACGGCTCAGACAATACAGACAGAGACGGGGGGGGGGGGACAGCAGGAGTAAAGAACAGGAGACGCTAAATGGTTTGTGAAATGGGTTAAATGACAAAACCAGCCACTCAGAGGAGCCGGTGACGGGATGGCGTGTTCCCATTTGAATGACGCCGATCCACAACAAGCGTCTTACAAGCGGTCGGCCTCAAGGACACATTTAGAGGAAGTCTTCTGCCTAAAGCCCTCTAGTGCCGTGATGTGCAGGTTAGCCATTCGTTTTGAGGGGCGGCCGAAGGTCAGCAGCACAGGAGAAACGCAAAGCACTTTAAAATGCATTTAGCGTGTTGCTAAATGTTCATAAAGGAGTTGCAGCAGGTCTGGCCGATAACTGTGTTCAGACTACCTGTGCAGGACTCTGAAATCCACATGCAGTGGATGAAGGCTTCCTGTTCATTTGCATGAAAACGGGGACGAGGGGACTGGCCGACCTGACGAGACTGAGGGAAAGAAATCATTTAACCCCAGTGATGTTTATTCTACCTTCAGCTCAGGCTCTCAGTGTGTAGCCCTTTTCTCTTTTTGCCGACAGTCTTTGCTAAATCCAACCACCTGATACACTTGCTGAGAGCTGAACGCTGGCTGAGCGATTTGGCTCCGTTCAGCTGCCGTGGACCCTCCAAGGACCGAAAATGGTGGCTAACTGAAACACCCCTTTGAAACGTGTGAACATAACAAGGTCAGAGAAAGCTGTGAACTGAGGAGGAACAAAAGCAAAACCTTTTCCCTTACTGAACAATAACAAGGACCCATGCCGCCTATGAGGCCATTCACTGTGCAGTCTGTTTATTTCATCTTTTTGGAAATGGGACTGGCTCATGTTTCTTTTCTTCTCACAGCTCCGGCTTCCCTTTGATGTTCATCGGAAACCCAGCAGGATGAGATCCAACGATCTAGTTTAAATGTCTTTGTCCAGAGTTGGCAGAACAGACACGGGGCCGTCAACAGCCTGGACCTAAACCATGTCTTACTCTTTGCCGGCCCAGAATCCCCTTGTGAGCGCGCTGCCAGCAGCGTGTTTCAGTGTAGTTACACTATCGGTGTCGCTTTGCCTCACGCAGCGCTACAACCCCCCCCCGCTGCTGCACACAAAGGGAGCGCCGTCTCTCTTAGAAGAAGCGAGGGCTGAGAGGCGGCCAGAGCCTGTTAGTTGAGAACGCTGTTAAATAACTGAGGAGCTCCCCCGACTGACCGGGCGGTCATCGGGCTGTCTCATGGCACATTAGAGGGTGTTTGATCCCTGAGAGCGCACACCCAGCAGGTGTCCGGGTTGGACTGCCGGCTGTGGTCTCCATCCTCCACCATCGGTTATGAGAGGATTTTTTTTTGGGGTGCTATTAAAACCTGCCATGTCTAATATGGTGACCGGCGGCTCCTCCCGCAGACCAAACGCATGCAAACTGCAAAGGTCCAGTCGGTTTCACACAAAATTCACTGCAAACGTGTGTGTGTGTGTGTGTGTGTGCGCAGCCCTGTTCAAACGAACTTTAAGACTGAACAGAAAGGTTGAGGTGCACATGCAGTAATTGCACTCAAAAAGCAGCACTAATCATCTTAAAGGACTCAGGGGCACATTTTAGGAAGTGTGTTTCCTTGCTGAGAGGCAGGTGAGGAGCCTTTTGGCTCCCCTCACTGTACTGTGAGAGAAAAAACCTCAGCTGGCAGCCAAGCAACGTCTGGACCACCGGTGTCGGTTTTCTGACACCTGTGGTCCAGACGTTCCTTTTCTGCTTCTCAGAAAGGAAAGTCAAACCACTTTCTCTGGCCAGATGCACCGCACACTGCAAACAGGAGTCGCACACAGCCGAGTTCCCATACCGGCCGGAGCCTCCCGTCCTGGCCTCAGCGCCTCTGTTGGACGGCATCACACAGCGCAGTCAACAACACGCACATCGGCTACACGGAGAATGCTCCAAAAATGAGATTCCCGTGTGAGCGGCGCTGCGGTTCGGTGTTGCCTGATCGCCACGCGGCCGTACTGGTCGGTGGGGGTTGAGGCCGAGGCGTTTGACTCACAAAGTAGATATCTGTGACTGGCACGTCGTCGTCGTCGTCCACCGAAGCCTGGCTGGTGCAGCCCGACCCCGACATCTGGCTGGCCCGGTCTGCCTCCACCGCCGCCACCTGAGGACTGGAGGGGGCTTCCCTGGCAGGCCCCGGGGAGGATGGAGCGGCCGGGGCGGGGGCGGAGTGGGGGGCTGCCTCAGGGGGATCCGGGCGCGCCGCCTCCTCCGCGCCTGCTGCTTTCTGAAGCTCACTGTGGAAACACAAAGACTCCTCAGACTTGTAGGAGTCTAAATGTCTCCACGCGGGACTAAAATTAAGTCGGAAAACATCTCCTTTGGCAATTTTCAGCAAATTATGTGCTTCAGTGAGTTGGAAGGTACAGCAGACTGCTACATTATTGGCACCAAAGTCAAAACCTCTATATCCCCTGTAGATTAAGGACAAAAGAAACAGACACGCACATGGACAGACAGCAGTTTCTGACGTTAAGAGTGGCAGAGGAATGAGGAAAAACGGCCAAGAGAAGACCACCCAGCAGCTGTGTGTAGGTCTGGGTCCTTAAGCCAGCTGGCTGCGTCCTGCCACAGTCCTTCATTGTTCCTGACCAGATCGTCAACTATTAGGACGGATTTAGCCGCTTCCACATTGCTATCTCAGCTTCTCTGTTTAAGCTTAGCTCCACCAGAGGAAAAGTATGGCAGCAGGCCCCTCGAAGCAAGAAAGAGGACTGGGAATCGATTGGCTGAACAAGTAATGGGGACAGGATGGTGGTTGCCATGTAGAGGGATTCTTTCTAGCCCGAGCTCATCTCACCACCTTACACTTCTCTTCTGTTTATTCACATTACATTTGCTCTTATTCTCATTTTTTCATGTTCCGATTAATCGCCCTATTCTTTTTTCCTTTCATACCTCATCTGTCGTCTTGTATCCGGCTTCTTTCTGCTGTCCTTCATCCCTGCCAGCTCCATCCAGACCCCCAGGCCATATGTCTAGCCACTGCCCTCTCAGCATCAAATCCAATTATTCAGTTGGTTTCTCTCGATAAACACACATTAATCCTTTCTGACCCGAGCCAAGAACAAACTTGAACCTTGCTCTCATGGTTCGTGTGTGCTTAAAAAAAAACATAGATTAACTTCCTGATGAATTTAAGGTCACAGGTTATAGCCCAGGTTGAAAACGCAGCTTAAAAAAAAAAAGCTAAATTTTATGAAAGCAGCCTCAGGCCAGACGACTTCCTGCCCCACTGCCCTACTTCTGCTGTCTGGATCCCCTCCCTCAAATCTGGGGGCTGTTTTTGACCCATTGTCTGCAAACGCACCCACGACACAGACGTGTGCGATTCCCCCATAACCCAATTAGTGCGGACGGCTGCTCCGCCGGGCACCTGCAGCGCTCATTTGTCCAGGACAAAAGAGCCCTGAGTGCGGCGACAGTAAAAACCGGACTAAGCTGCTTTCCGCTGCGTTTGGGATCCAGGTGAGCTAAGCCAACAGCTGTCTGAAACCAGGGGAGACGCTGGCAGCGGCTTATTTATAGTGCACAGCCAAACCGTCAGAAACTGGACGAATGGGGTCACATCTGATCCATCCAGCATCAGGGTCACATATTACAGAACTTCCTCTTTTGTAGGACAGAATTTTATGGGATGAGTTACGTGCTAGATTTCTCAACATCTCTCGGTTTCTGGGTCTTATTTCTCTGCAGCTTGAACGTGCTGTGAGAAGCTAAAACGAGGCTTGTTTTGACACCGAGGCTCTCCCAGTACCTGGCCTCAGGTGACGATGGCTGTGGAACAGAGATAGTGGGCTCGCTGTCGTGTCTCTTCAGCTCCACCTCCACTGTGATGGTCTGCTGGTCCTCCTCACGCACACGCAGCTCCTCCTGGGTCCTGCAGACAAACAGCGGCATGTTTGTAGAAGAAGGAAACACACACACACACCCAAAGGTTGGTTATGGTAAGGGTAAGGAGGAGCTGGCCCATAAACACAGAGACTTCACATTTCCTCCACCCACCACACCCCGACTCGCCGAATACTGTAAAAACACGGAGCAAACAGGCGGCAGACGCTCGTGAAAAGCGGCTCATCTGCTGAGGAAAGGCTTTGTGGTTGAGCTCACCTTCCGTCGTGGCTCAGAGACTGGGTGTGCCTCCTGGAGAGAGAGGAAACACTGGATGTGAACCAGGAACTGTTAGCTACTCAAATGGCTAAAATGTCAGTAAATAGATCTAAAAAAGGTTTTTCCCTTTAGCAGAATAATTGCCTTCTTTAAACCAACACCACTGTGTGATTGAAGGTTTTTTCTCTTATCTCCATTAAGCATTCATTGAACTCTCTGTTTTGCGATGTGAAGCTAACTGCAGCACTTAGTACCTGTAGCGGGGGTGCTCGGCTGTGTCAGAGGGAGATCTCTCAGGGATGGACAGAGAGGTGGTGGAGGAGAGAGTGGTGGCAATCGATGCCGTGGTGGCCTCCTCAAAGGATGGAGGAGTACAAGGCAGAAGATCCGGTCGGCCTGGAAGGAGAAACGGGTTAGAAGGACCTAACAAGTTTAATAACTAGACCTTGTTACACCAAAGTGGGTTTACCTTTGTACTTAAAATGTGTATTAATGTATTTCAAATTAGTTTCTGATGGTCCAAATGATGTTATTACAAAATTGTAATTACACAATAAGGACATGATTGGTTGAAAATGCATAAAACCATTTTGTGTTAGATTGAAAACATTAGTGTCTGTTAGCGTCTACTTTGAGTCCAATGTGTCATGGTAAAGCAAAGCTAAATGCCATGTCCTCTTATGAGGATGCAGGGACTCAGGAGGTCAACAGAGCATCCGTCTGCAGTTCCATCCGGGGCAAAAGTTGAAGAGCAGCGGCTCAAAGGCCGCTCTCAGGAAGCCAGATTGAGATGACAGGGTAGGGTCAGGCAGGCTATGTTTTTTTCTGCCCTAAGTCTTCAGCAAGTCTCACAGTGGCGGTTCCAAATCAGCTGAATCATGTCAGTTACCCCTTTTACCCCCAATCTGAGTCTCCAAGGTGGAGCCTTTGTACTTCATCCTGACATCATCCCCTGTTTGCCCCAGAGGGCATCAAGTTTACCATTCAACTCCCACAAAGTCTGCGTCTGAGTGTCTATGGGTCCAGCTTCTCATTTTCCCGAAAAAGCAGGTATCCGCCAACTCCAAACAGCAGGAACCCAGTTATCATAAGTCCGGATACGTAAAGGTCTTCAATATGTGCCACATAAAAGAACAGAAAGGCACAAAGTCCTCCAATCCTTCCGGGAATCCATCGTATAACCAGCAGGGCGAGTCCCATCAGGGCAAGATGCCACCCCTGCACTCTGGGCAGAAAAGATCTTATCAATGGCGAGGAGAGACCAGTCGGCCAGATCCATGGTTGAGGTTTTAGGACTTAATGCAGGGAGAGGCTCCGAGACGCGTCAGGAAAAAGATAGCAGGCAGGCAAAGGAGGCGGGAAGGGAGCAGATAGAAGCATGTCTGCACATTTCCGCATTTTTATGACTACAAATCAGAGGTCTGCCACTGGCTGCTTGTTTATAACAGGGTTATAACCCTCCTTCGCTGCAGGGGGACCGAAGAGGGGCTGTAACTGATGGGGGGGGTTGGCGGTATCTGATGTGCCTGTTAAAGGAGTCCCTTTACCTTCGTCCTCTAATGTGGGGAAGCTGCGAGCCCCCCTCAGGTCGTAGATGTTCTCGTCTCTCTCGGAGGCCAGCTGGCTCGCTGACCAGGCCGCTCCAGGACCGGCGCATTTAGGCACCGACAGGGACACACGGCCCTTCTTAGACGGAGACGATTTCAAAGCTGAGGGAGAATGCACAGAAACACAATCAGTCCAAGAGAAAGAAAACTAAAGAAGAATAGTCACTTCTTTTTTTATGATGAGCCATTAAATTAATAAAACTCAATTTTCAAAGGGACGTTTTGCTGAAATCCCAAAGGAATGACTTCACTGTCTTACATTTACACTGAGTGGTAAAAAAAAGCCAAAGCAATGGAAAAAACTGCACACAGATTGAAACTGTGTTTTCCCCTCTCTGTATTTAGCAGCACCTAATAAGGCTTCTGGCTTCATCTGATCTTCCTATCAAGGCCTGGGAGCAGAAGAGACAGAAGCCTGGCATCGGACATTTGTGTCCATGTGAGGCCGGCCTCTCTGGGCTGAGCCTGACTATGTAAGGCAGCGTCTGGGTGCACACAGGACTCACAGGAGCTCTTCCTGAAAACCGTGCTGCTCATGAATTTGAAGAACCGATCTGCATAGAAACCCGGCCGGTGGACGGACACGGTATCCTGAGGGAGAAACGGACGGATTAGTGATACAAAAATTCACAAACCGCTGCTTACAGTAGATTAGAGCGTCTATTTTCCCCATTAGTGTCCCATTTCAGTCATTGTCTGCTCTGGGTCAAACATACGTCACATACAAATCCTGCAGCAGGTGCTCAGGAAGGCAGTCAGGCTGGACAACAGACGCTCCGGCTCATCATTTATGTATCAGCACGCTTAGGTAAGACTGCCAGCAGACTGACAGGTGACACTCGGTGTTCGGTTTAGCGTGACAGAGCACATGGGGGGGACCGGAGGAGGCTGGTGAGGAGATGACATCTCAACCATAAGCTTTTTTCACCCTCTCATCATCCCAGCTGTGTGGAATCTAAAAAAATCAGGATAAGTGGTTCGGAGAAGGCTGTTTGCTTACAGAGCTGAAGTTTGCTTCAGTAAAGTTAAGGCTGATGCCGACCTTTGATGGAGGTGAACCCCAGAGGACGAAAGCATTTGAGGGTCAGAAGTGACCAGTTCAATTTATTCTCATGCTAATTCTGTGCTGTCAAAGATGTAATCCCAGGAGCCTCAATAAGGGCACCTGGACTCCAGTGTCCTCCTAGAAATCTTTTTTGGGCTGATATCTAAAAGAAGAAAATGTCTCCCTGACTCATTAAAAAAGGGCCTTTCCGCAGAGAATCGCCTTAACGTGAAGTCAGTGAAGGAATTACTGAACCACTGAACTAGATCTGCAGAAACGCTGCGTGGATCCAGAACGTGAGAGAAAACAGTTCAAGATTACATTGCAGCATTTTTCTAAATGGTCGTGTCTTTGCAATAAGAAAAGAAAAGGCACTGTGTCACTTTGATTCTCTCAGTCAAAGCACAAACCTTTAACAGAGACAAAAAAAAGGGACAAAAGCTATATTCTCCCTTTTTCTCTTTTCACATTGAAGCACATTGAAAACATTCATTAAATTGACTTATTTTCAGGAAAACTCGAATTGAGATTAACTCTCAATTAATGAGAAAATACAGTAAAATATTACCTCTATAAAATAATGACACTGTTTATGAGAGCAGAATTAACATTAAGTAATCAATAGCCCCCCAAAAGATCTGACATCTGTTTATTAATGCGTCTCAATAGACCAACTGCCTTATTCTGAGGGCTGGGACGCGTGCTCCACACTCATAAGGTGATAGTCCACACAGAGGCTCTACACCTGCAGCGTTACATGCAAATAGCTAGAAAACCCACCCCGTCGTGAACCAGGGCCTTCCACGTGTGCTCCAGCTTCTTGATTAGCCTGTAGAGACAAGCACAGTTTCATTATGTCAAAGAGCTCTCAGATGACAGATTCATATGGCTGTGTGTGGTGAACGGGCAGTCTAAAGAGAATGAATCCGAGATAAAAGAAAAACAACCCAAAAAACCCGGTGTGCTGCAGCAGAAAGGAGCACGATGTACCCGTCACCATCAGACTGACTGATTATCACCTGTAGGACTGCAGGATGTCAATGATTCCAATGTAGAGGAGAAGCCGTTCTCCTCTCCCGTTGACAGCTGGAATGCCGCCCATCCTGGAGGGAGAGGCGGGGCAGAGTTAAAGCCTTTCTGCAAAACTCGCCCTCTTTTAATATTAACGATTAATCAATTCATCTGTTATTTTTTAGTCTGATATTTCTTCCTGTTTCCTCTCCTGGTTCAGATGCCTACAGATGTTTCCTGTGGATTTATAGATCTGTCCTGCTACCTTTTGCAGATTATTCTTCGGCAAACATCTCAATTCTTGATCTAATTCTTTAGTCACTCGTGTCGAAAAAAGCAACAATCCCACGGTTACACAGTGTTTCCCTGAACGGAGGAGCTGATGCTCAGTGCTCTTTGATTTTCTACAATGATGAAAGAAAAACTTCCTGACTTAAAGAGGATCCAGCTCATTAGTGAGGAAGTGATTATTTCTTTCAGCTGTGTTGAATACAGATAAGTAGATGTTTTTTTGTTTTTTTTATCCCTTTCATGTCCTGCCATGCTACCAGATCTGTGTCCAGTTCACAATTCTGCTGCTTTTCTGAGCCCGGACACAAAACTGCTCACAGAACAGGAGGAGAACATTAAACAGAACGTTTGATCTGCTGTGTCTACTTTAGAAAATTGTCCCTGCTTTGTCACGATTGGCCAAAAACAACCATTGACCTTTTAATGTTAATTGTCTGTAAATGGAAAACCTTTCAACGGATTCAATGGCAGGTGATGACAAACAACCAATGAGTTCTAATGGATAAAAAGTCACGGTTAAATTATGACTGTTTATTTGAGCTCTCTGTTATTGCACACTAATGTAACTTCCCCCTTTTTCTCCCGAGGTGAACTCACGTGTCGTCGGTGTCGATGGTGCCTCCGCAGGCGGCGCCCCCCTGGATGGACTCCATGGCGGTGGAGTATAAAGCCTTCTGCTGGGCCACGGGCCTCTTCTCGTCACTGTCGCCCTGGGAGCCTTCGCTCTGCCTCTCCCGCTCCGCCTGGTCCATGTTGTGGACCCCCAGCAGCAGGCTGTAGTCCATGATCTTGAAGCTCTCCAGCACCTGAGCGCAGGCCACATGTGGACAGATGTTAAGGTGCAAACCTGAGGCCCCCTCTGTCAGCTCAACGATCACGATCTCACGGGAAAGCAGAGGCTCACCAGGCAGTCTCTCTGCAGAGTCTTCACCAAAGCGTTGTAGGTGTCCTGGTCCAGCATCAGTCCGTCCGGAACGTCCTGCATGAAGTCCAGGTCTTTGAAGGTGGGCCTGGCCTTCTCCCTCTCCTTTTTGGAAGCCCGCCTCTTGTAGGTGGAGCCCTTCAGGTCGTACTTGAGGTGCATGCGGACCACGCGGGGCAGGACGTTGTTCATCACCACCACGCGGATGTTCTTCCCACCCGACTGGACGCAGTAGAGGCCGAAGAACTTGGGCAGCAAGGTGCGCGGGTTCTGATTCAAATTCTGGAGGAGAGGAGACGGGAGTTGGCAGAGGGTCACACGTCGGAGTAGATGATGTTTGTGCAAAGACGAGACGGAATAAAATGCAACCTGGGCCGTCAGAGAGGATCAACTCAAATGGACCTTAAAGGGGGATAAAAAAGCTCCTGAGCTACAGGAGAGGTGGTACATGCAATCTATGGTTTAATGAGAAACAAAACAGAAACATCAGTGTCTGGCAGCAGTTAAACATCGAACCCCTGATCTAATCATGATGAATTACACAACTGAGCAAACACAAGTCAAGCCTTATCTGGCACTGGGACATGGATGCAGGAGGAGGTGGCAGGCAAATGTCACAATGGGACGCCTTTACTTCAGAGCTGGCATTTGAAGTTAAAGTTTATTAAATGTCACATGTGATGAAGCTGCGTCGTGGAAACATCGCGTTGCTGGATCTGAATATTTCTGTCAGACGAGCTTTGAGACGTCGGTGACGAAGAATCCCACCGATTCTAATATGATGTGCAGAGCGGGACTGATGTGATGAGCTCCCTTCAGATGGCTTACAGCGGTAAAGGTTGTGGGGGAGTCGTGCAGGTCGTGAGTGATTTGATTTGGTCGCTCTCTTTACTCCAGTTCTAAGTCTGTCTGGGACAGATCCCAAAAAAATCGAATGTAGGGGGAGATACATTTTTGGTTGTTATTGACAAGCTCGCTATAGGATATGGTTTCACTGTCAAAACTAGATTTTTCCCATCAAAAATATAAACAAGAACAACAAAATTAATCTAAGAACCAGAGAAAAAAAACCAACACATCTGCAGAGCATTTCTGCTCCGAGTGTGATCTGTTTGTTATTTTTGCCTCTTGTTCCACCCATCCTCCTTACAGGACTCTCCCTCTTCTTTCTCCAATCTGTGCTGAATATTTCAGAAGTCAATCCAAATAAATGAGGTTAGTCGGGCTGGGTGCTCGGGGAAAAACCTGCTTTGACCTTGGGAACCGGGCCAGCCCGGTTCCATTAGCGAAATGAGAGCAGAGCGTGAAAGCGTAGAGTGACAATCTAGAAAATTCAGGAGTAAAAATTAAAGAGGAGAAGGAAAGCGTTGCAGACAAAGAAATAAAGGATGAATATGGATGTTTTGTTGAAGAAGGCTTGACATTTGCCGGATGACCTTCGCTTTGCCATCATAAGACAGAGGGAGAAGGCTTCTTCTGCCCTCAACCACACGCGACCCTTATGTCGACGTTAGGAGGGCAGAGCAGTGAGGAGCCAGCAGCACAGACACGTGTGGAGGAGGAGGGGAGGAAGGAGAGCAAATGTGAGGGAGGAAAAAAAAAAAAAGGCAGGAAAGAGGATGGATTAAACACGAGGACGGAGCGACAGACCAAGGAAAAGAATTAGTCACAGCGAGGAGGGCGATGAGGCTTTTTGTCGTGGAAGGGGGAGGCGTGCGGAAGGAGGACGAATACAAAGCAGGGAGAGGAGTGGCAGCGGGGAGTCGGTTACATCACAGCGATCGGCAAGCTGCCCGGAGCCAGCCTGCTGCGGACGGCCTGCCGAGCTCCACCAGTGACGGCCCACGTGCCGCGCCGGGCGCTAGCGTGGTGTAGCGCAGCGTGGAAATACTGGAAATACTGCTGCGGACGTGGACGGCTCCCGCCTCAGGCCACGGCCCTCTCTGCGTGAGCCCCAATACCTGAGCTCTCATTAAACCGCCCGCTTCTACCAGCTCCGGCTGCTTAAGTGCCTCAGGTAACAAACAGGGGCAATGAAAAGGTCACGAGTCTTTCACTCCCGGCAAATGATTAACCGGAGGTTCGGTTTCTCTGCGCACGGAGGGTTTTTAATGTTTCCGTTGACTACCCGCAGACACGCCGAGGTTCCGTTTTCATCGGCTTTCAAACGCTCAGCGCTGCTGTCAGCGTATGTTTGACTCCCTCTGCCATCAGAGGAGTTTCGCTACCAAATCTAACTCCAGGCAGCGGTTCTCGCTGTGGCTTCACCACCATGAATAAAAATGGCGCCGCCGGGCCGTGAACCCCAGAGGTCGGAGCGTGAACATGGACATACATGGAGCCTTTCCTGGTTGGCTTCATTCAGAACTGGAGACTGCAGAGGAGGGGGGGGTGCTAATGATGGTGGAAGTCACGCTCTGTTTGGCTTAAATGCAGAAACATCCGGCTACAGGAAAAAAAAAGAGAAAAAAACAGCCTGTCTCTTATGAAACCGCATGCCCCGAGGTGTCAGTCAGGGATGAAAAGAGACTGTGTCTGCTTTCCTTGAAGGGTTGTCGCACATGGAAAAGGGCTTTCCAGGTTCTTACATAAACCTGATATCCAAACCAAAACATCGGGAGAGGTCGGCCTTTAAATGAGTCTGGTTTCCATGCACAGTGTTCCACTCATGCTTATTCAAACACCTGCAGAGATCAGCTAAATGTAATTACTCCCCACTAATCTGTAGGCCAAAGGCATTGACAGCAGAATCCTAAAAGTGTGAAGGGCAGGTAACCCCAACATAAATCTCTGACAGCGTCTGCTGTTGAGAGGGACCTCTTGAAGTCATTCACAATGCAGACACACTGTCACAGAGCTTCCCCCGCCCCTGCTCACCATGTAGTATCCGGGCAGCAGCTTCTGTAAGAACTCAGCCTCCTTGTGCATCACGGTCTTGATGATGAACTCGTCGTCCTTCGTTAGGTAGAAGACGGAGCCGCTCGCCCCGGGGTTGGACAGCTCGATCAGGGGCTCGTTACATAGAGAGTACTGCAGGTTCACAAGGAGAGGCACAACAAAAAAAGATGAGCAGAAAAACACTCACACACAACAAGTCATAGTTTAGCTTCTCCAACTGTATGATTCATTTTTCTAAGAGTTCCAGGAATTGGCGGGTATGTCTTTAATAATGACAAGTGGAAATAATGAGAAGAAGCATAATAATAAAGAATAAAGTGCTTTTAATTCTAGATTTGTTAAAGCAAATATCACTGCTCCATAAACTCCCTTTATAAAGACTCTTCTCAAAAGAGTTTAGCTCCACACCTTTATCTTTAATTGACAACATAGCCACAGAAGCTTCAGGAAAAATGTTCAAAATGGCACATAAAAGCCAAACAGCTCCCTCTTTTTCTCCTCCTCCAGAACCAAAAGTGTTTCTGCAGGAGTGAATAAAAACCTGACACTCTTTGTGATGGCCTCTGTTCTTTTCATAATCAGTGAATAGTTTTCAAATCTCACAGCTTCTAGCAAAATAAACGTAAAAAGTCGAAGACATCAGCCGACGGTTGTTGCTGATGGGGGCTGCCGTGCTAAAACCAAAGCAGCATAGTTCGTTGAAAGTGGTGAAACAGGCTGGTGTTTCACAAAAGAGAACAAAATGGTCCAAATCAGACCGTGTCTCATCACTTCTGGGGTACAAAGACTTATTTTTAGCAAACATGTTGTATGTGAGTCAAAGAGAACAATGCAGCTCAGATCCAGGTGCTTTTTCCAAAGCCCTCTCTATAGAAAGCTCTTTAAAAGGGTCGACTAATCAAATGTAGAAAGGTGTAAAAACAACACTCCTGCCATTTCAGCAGCCCCGCTACTACACATGTAAACCGACACCGGCTGCAGCGCCTCTGGAGAGAGCCGAAACCTGAGCCTGCTCCGCGCCCTGTGTGCATTAAACCCAGTTACACGCTGACCGATGCAAGACATGGCCAAATTAGGCACGAATGCACAGAGATCCATGGCTTCTCAATCAGCTTTTCACAGCAAATTACCCACAGCAAAGTGGGATGAGGTCAGAGTCAGGAAGAAAACCGTGTCGGACGGCTTGTCAAGACAAAACGGGAGAAAAACCAAAGAAAAACCAAAGAAAAGTATCAAAGCGTTGCAGATAATGTGGAGAATGTCTAAACCTTGACGCAGCAGTTAATGTATATACGCAGCGAGGTGTTTTAAGGGCAGGGCCGTGAATCATGTGGCCTTAAGGCGAAACACGCTCTCTCCCCCTCTCCACAGCTCATCCCAGCTCAGTGATTCTATTCCTCTAACAGCTTGGCAGCCCAGGCTATCAGGTTCTAATCTGACAGTGTTTTTTTCACAAAGGAACCTGCTAGAGGAAATCTTACCAGGTAGTCGTCCGGCCGGATGCCGAAGAGTTCTCTGAAATAGCGGAAGGCCACGGGAGCGTAGGTTTTAAAGCGGAAGTCTGGGAAATGATGGGCCGGAGTGAGGTTGCTCCCTTCACTGGAGAGTGGAACAAAAACACAGTAGGCTGATTTTAAAAAAAGAGCAATCCAAATGACTCTCACCGGCACAGAAAGGTCTTAACGGCATAATTGCCAGGGCGGATGTTCGGAGCACCGACCTGGGGAAGAAGATGCTCTCCACCACATAGAAATCCTGCATCAACACGTCTCTCTCAGGCTTGGAGCTCAGGTTCCCCACCGTGTAACCGATCCCCAGCTGGATGGCACCTTTCAAGGCTGATGATGTGGTCTGCAGGGAAGTGAGGGAAGAGAAGAATTACATACCACAAGGCGACGCCTTTACAGCCAGACAGTTCGTCCAAATCCACGCTGGGCACCTTTTTATATGTGGTTTCTCCTGATGCATCCACGCCTCTGTGGCCGATTTTTTTCCCCTGACCAGGCTGGCCTGAGGATGAGGGCATCTGGCACAATGGAAAGAGACAGACGAATGGATTTAAGATGAGTAAAATGACATTTTAAAGACCAATGACAGGTATAGCACCAACAACTGAGACTGGACAGAGCAGAGGAGGTGTACAACACAGGGTTCGAGTCCTGAGTTAATAATTTAATCAGACTTAATACTAGAGGCTGAATGGGAAGTGTGAGGTCTCATGCAGCGTAAATACATCTGGTTCAGTAAGAGATCTGAGTGGAGTGTGTGGTCTGAATAGGCATTTAAGTGGAATTAAATGCTCGGCAGCCCCTAATTAAACGAAGCGAACCGTAGTTTTGAGCGGTTGCTTTAACGCACTGTATGTATGTACGCACTGACTCTGGAGTGCCAGATAACTGGGATTTCTCAAATTAGGAGGATTAGCATCAGTAGAGGAGAGGAAAACAGCCCCGACAGCCTGGTGTTACTGGCTCGCCGAATAAGAGCACGGCATCCAGGTGATTAGCCAATCGGAACATCAGAGCGATATCCTCAGAGGAGACATTAACAGCGTTTTCACTTAGATGAAGCAGACATGGACGTGGGAGATCAAAAAGCAGTTGAAAGGATGCTGGCGGGGGGGCAGAGGGATCACAGGGACGGACTGGGGGCTCACCTCTGTGATGAAGGCTTTCTTAGCGGCATCTGAAAGAGAGAGAGAGAAAAAAAAAAAGGAGAGAGAGAGAAAGGCCTGCGTCAGTGGACGTGTGACAAGACGGTCCATTACTCAGCCCCGTCGGAGCTCCGTGACAAAGATGAGTCCCAGAGGATGGATGAAACCGCCTGATTATGTAATGAGAGCAGCGAGCACGAGCGGGGGGGGGGGCTCACAGGGAGTCTGCAGGAAAAACAGAGCTCAGCTGCAAGGGCACCTTGTCGGCCTCTGGGCCCCCGTGTGTGCGTCTCCGTGCTTTTGTTTCTGCCACGCCGGCGGCGCAGCGTTAAGTCATAGCCGTGATGGAAATCTGGCTGACGGCTGGGCCGGGCCATGTTTCGGCCAAAGCAAAATATCTCTGATCCATAGTGACGGACTGCAGAGCGGCCCTTTGAAGACGATCGCAGCCTAAACGGCTGTGGAGACCAGCTGCTGCTGTTTTCACACAGAGCTTCACTCTTTTAACCTGATCATTGGATTACAGTTCAAGTTCAGCGCTCTATTAAATGTATAGCTATATATCTAAAAGCAGGTTCAGTCACTGAGGTCGTCTCTGTCGTGATCGTCTGGTTAATAACAGGATGTGGGCTGTAGGGAAAGGCAATCAGAGGCCTGAAATGGATGCGTAATTATAGACACATACCACTCTGCATAATAGTGTGGAGAAGAGTGAAGAAGGCAGGCAAGAGGGGAATGCAAAAATGAGCAAATGAAAGAGTGGGAAGAGGCAGCTGAGGGAGGTGAGAGACAGCTTCAGACAGAGGACGGAATCAATCAGCCCCGTCTGTTTTCCGTCTAAAGCACAATCGCGCTCGGCCGCCCACGGCGTGGACTGAGGAGCGGTGGCTGCACAGTCTGGCTGCGGAGGAGAGCCACAGGACTGATCTACCGGGTCCCCAGATAGAATTACAGCTTTAAAAAAATCGCCTTTTTTAAACATTAAATTGGTGTTTTGCCACCGACGCAATGCCACGAGCAGGAATGTGCATCAAAAAAAGCTCATTCAGCTGCAGAACGAACGGGAAACAGGTGGTCTGAAGGCTGCGCTGCCAGCACCGCGTCCTTCAGGACCTCTGAGCAAACCGCTGGGAGGGTTGTGGTCCAGCATGCAGGACGATTTGACCAAGAGGAGCTTGTTTTTGCAGTGGCAGGCAGAATCTTGCGGCGGAGTACAGAGAAAAACAACAAGATGCATGACTTTATCAGGCGCTGCTCGCCTCCGGAGACCCACGGCGCCGCCCCGGGGTCAGGGGCCGGCCTGTCACCTCCTCTAGACTTACAGGGCTTTGGACACTGACAGCCCTGTTCGGAGCAAGTTTGATCACAGCTAACGAAAGGAAAATGGTCTGTTTTGCAGCGGGATCTGATCTTTCAATAGTCACGACTTTGTCATTTGAATTGAAAATGGGGTTTAGTGGGAGAATAAAAAAAAAAAAGTCAGTTGACCATCAGGCCCAGCCCGGCGGTGCGTTTGTGTGTCAGCAGACGTGAGGATTCAGCAGTGCTCACAACAGCAGCTCAGGACGTGCATCACTGGTGCCACAATTCCCTGCATGCCGAGGAGTGACTGCAGGAGTCCTTCAACGATTCCTCTTTAGAAGCGTCCTCCTCACCTCACACCCCTCCGGCCTCAGACAGCCTTAACGAGGAGCTGCCTAACGTGTAGCCGGACTCTGTGTCTTTGCGTTTGAGTTGATAGCCAGCCTCTATTTCTCAGCGCGCCTGTCCGCCGGCTCCTCGTGGACGCACATGTGACTGAGCGGCTGCGCTGGCAGTTTGCCCCCCCCCCGCGCTCATCCTCCTCTTCCAGCCCTCCCTATCGCTCCCTCTCTCTGTCATGCACATATTCGCATGGGGCCAAACTAACCAAAGCAGGCCAGCGGAGCTCCCAGCAAGCGGGAGGCAAGAACAACATTTAGGAGTGAGAGAGGAACGTGGAAAAATGCCAATGAAAGAATGTTTGCAATGCAGATAATTAAAGGTGCTCCAGCTCACTCTGCGTTTGTGCAAGTGCATGCATGCACGACACGTCAGGTTCGGTGTTGTTATTCTCCCACATGTCACCCTGTAATTTCAAAGTACCCCTTTCCTACTTATTTGCACAACACTGCACCTGTTTAAGGCCCAAAATGGTGTCAGCATGCAGACAAGCTAATTCTTTAAGGCATCATGACTGTGTTGTGACTACAAAACCGCATCCTGACAAGCAGCCGCCAGACACTGGGGGAATCATGGAGCTTTAAGTCCACTTCACAGTCCCCCGTCTGAACTGACATGCATCCCGTGCGATCATCTACTTCCTTACAGCAGTTTATTAGAAATAAGTGTGTAATTATGGGGGGGCTGAATTACAATAACATCTGAAGCCATTTAACTGACGTCAATGCCATGCCGAGAAGTCATTACAGTGTTATTACAAGCATGTTAATTGTTAGAGCAAGCATTAAAAGCATAACACCCAGGGGCTATCAGTGCCATTCTTTACTTGTATGGGTTACAGATCCTAGGAAACACAAAAAGAGTGAGAGAACTTTACAATCAACGGAGAAGAAACAGAGAATGCCCTTTTATTGCATAGCAGAGATTCATAATTTTCCCTCTATTTATGAGGGTGCCCCTTTATTTATGTGTTTTGAGAACAAGGAGCTGCTGCAAACACTGGTCCCACTTCAGCATTATGCTGCAGGAGGTTCTACGCTTCTCCAGGGAACAGACCAACAAACGCACCCCTCCAAATAAATAGCTGCGCGCCCAGTCTGTTACGGAGCCTGTTAGGGCTGTGTGCTGCTTTACGGCCCACTCCCACGGCCCCTGGGGGAGTGGTCCATTACCAGCTGGTGACGGCCAGCCAAGGCGAAGCCAGACTCCGGCTTGTTTGCTCTCCCGAGCCCAGTGTGTGACTCATGGATACGCTCATGCGTGCCCACCCTCCACCTGCTCCTGTGGTCCCTCACACACTTCAGAGCTGCTTCATTTGCTTAATGCAGTCACATTATTGACCTCCAGGCTCGCTTTGCCCACATTTTCCGGAGCACGCGAGCAATTCGCCAGCGTGTCGGATCGGTCTGACCATAGGGGACCAACCAGGAGCGGTCAGTGTCCAGCTCTGGCCTGTTCGGCGCAGCTCGAGACGCTTCGAAAACCACCACAGAGTAAGAAGACGGAGGACACGAAAGCCTGGGGAGCAGGTTCTTGTCCCAGCTTGTTTTACAGTGCGCAGGATGGTGCAGGACTCCATATAAACTTCCAAAGCGGGGCCTGCCGCTCTGCTTTCCTCTATCTGCACCACGTCCTCATCATTAAAAGCTCAAATTTATGGCTCTCTTCAAATCAAACGTTGAAATGAAACCCAGAATCCTTTCCGTGTCCTGGAATGGTGTTCATATTCTCTCACATGAACACTTCCCATTCCTCTTGTTTCCATGGTGCCCTGAATTGAGGTCAACCGGCTTTTTTCTTTTTTTTTTTTTTTTTTTTTAAACTAAAGCACGTGTGCCTGGAATCAACAGACAGATGCTGCCTTCTCCATGTCCGCTGGTGGTGTTGCTGACGGGGGCAGCGCCGCGCGGCGGTCCTCTGACGTGCGCTCGCACGCAGACATCAGCCTCTGCAGGGGCCGCCGGACGCCGTTCTGCAACGGCTTTTCATATATGCGCACTTACAGTGTCACGTGTTCAAAACAACCATGTGCCAACCTAAATGATGAGTGTCACGGCACGGCTGGGAGTCCACTCAAAAGCAAAGCGGGACTTAGGACCTGCAGCCTTCGGCCATTATGCCTCTGACCAGTGGCCTCTGTGCCACCGGCTTAAACAGACCTGATATGACCCCAACTGAATAATAATTCATAATCACAAAAAATAGGAATAGGTTAGGAAAGGCTGTCTAACTGTCTTTGCTTCGGTGAAGCTGAGGAAGCCTCTGACTGAACACACATCCTTATTTGACTTAAATCTTGCATAGGGATTTTATAATGTTCTTCTAAACAATCTCCATTATATCATCTGCGTCCAAAGATGAGGTGATGATTTCCTCACCTCTCCATCGCCCGAAAACAGCAGTCATCTGAGGGTTTCTGGGAAAAACAGGACTCTGACTGTGACTGGAAGTCAGGGAGGGTCAAGCAGGAGGATGACGTCGTCTCAAAACACACTCAACGACTGGAGCCCCACAATACCCACAACTACAACCACAATCTTCAATTTTTTAGGTGTTATGCGAGCAGACGACGCAATACATGGAGCCCATGTTAAGTTAACATCATCCATGATTCCGTAATACAGGATTTTTTAGGCTAAAATGCTCATGAGGCACATTTCTATTGTAATGAAGCAAACTGCTGCATCCCCTCACAGGAGAGTAAAAACAGCTAAAAACAGCTGGGAAAATGAATGAGATCAGCACAAAATGAATCAAATTAAGGAGCATCAACTTTTCTCCTCATTTAAATGCAAAACTATCCCTTTAGTTCTCTCCTCGCTGCTGAAGGCGTGTTTTTACACCCCAGCAGCTCCGGCTGACACAGACAGTCGATACCGGAGCTCCCTGAACACGAGCTGAGCGAGCGTCTCTGAGATCACTGCTTATCTTGGCAGCATCTAAGCAATGCTGCTATCGATCGGAGGTTAATTTTCCCAAGCAATAACAAAACATCATTTTATTAATGCTTCAAACGGGGCCCGACCTCTCCAGCTGTAAGCAGAAAGCCACGAGTCTCCGCTTCAAAAGGAGCGGCGAGCAAAGCTGTGAGAAACATCAACTTCTAGAGAAGAGATGGCAAACTGATCCTAAACCGAGTCAACAAGCAGCCCCACGCCCGATCCCTTGAACTCAGTGACCAGCAGACTGTGTGTTTTTCCATGACCGCAGCAGTTAGCTGGGTGCTCCTCGTCGTCTCTTTCCTCCGGCCCGAGCCGGCTGGTGGAAAGAGTAAAGGCAGAAATTGGTTACATCTAGATGCATTAAGTCCTAACTCTCATGTTTAGGTGTTCATTTAGTCTGTGCAAACATTTTCTTTTAACAATTTGGGATTATTTCTGTACAATTTCCTCTACAAATGACATATAATTACAGTACATGGCCAACACAATGTTAACAATAAGCCCAATTAATATTATTAAGATCCCCCAACAGTCAAAGCCCCATGTTTGCATCAAAGCATGTCAGTCATTTCTCTAAAAAACAACCTTTCCTTCTCAATCAGCTATTAGGAGAGCAACACATTAAACAGTAATCAACTCCCCGGTGCTACAAAGGATTTAAATGTTCCTAGCAATTAAAGCACTCAGGGGGGAGTCAAATCCAGCCTATCCAAAGAGTTCTGCGTGTAAACACG